TCCCAGAAAAACTGTCGAATTAATCAAATATGTTTGTTAATTTTGTCTTAATTTAACAATGAATTTGATAGAGAATGGCTATCTAGAGATCTGATTACTTTTTGCTATTTTTTTTTTTTTTTTGGTCTCCAACTGTACAAAAGCAATCTGATAGAGAAAGGGAAGTTTATCCTGTAAAAGAATTTAGTAGAAAGTCACATGACTTCCTAGAAAGTTTTCTTATGTAAATTTGACTAGAAGTAACAGCAACTGCATATAAAAAGCACAGTCTTTGAGAAGTAAAAGGCAGAATAGGAAAAAGAAATGTTCAAAATGTAAAAGGTCTTCAGCAATAAGAGTCATTATAAGCTGCTGGTGGCAGCGCATGCTTTTAGTTACGGTACTTGGGGGGCAGAGGCAGGTGGATCTCTGTGAGTTCAAGGCCAGGCTGGTCTACAAAGTGAGTTCCATGACAGCCAGACCTACACAGAGAAACCCTGTCTTGAAAAAATATAAAGCTACTGTAATATACCATAATCTTGGAATGAGTGTTATCTCCCTTACATAATTACTTCCATTGAACAAGATAATTATGTATATTCTTGAAAATCTCAGCGCTTGAGAGGCAGAGGCAGATGGATCTCTGAGTTTGCGACCAATCTCGTTGACAAAGATACACCCAGGCCAGCCAAGACTACACAGTAAGAATCTGTCCCCCAAACAAAAAACAAACAAAAAAAAAAAACAAACAAAAAAGGAAAATCATTAAAGCATAATTTTCAACTTGATTACACTATAAGAAAGCATGAAATTTTAATATGTCAACAGAATATATTACTTAAATAATCTTAAACAAAGTAAAGACTTACAGAGAACGCCTAACTCTGCCTCCCGAGTGCTGGGATTAAAGGTGTGTACCACCACTGCTCTATAAGACTTCTTTTAAAAACAGTTCGCACTTTAATCAGTAAAACTTTTCAATCTCATCTAAATCCTAACTGTCCTTAGTCTCACTTTACATTGCTAATTTACAATAGCATTATAAGGCAGAGAAACACTTTGCAACTATTATGAGTAAATACAAATTACTAAAAAATCATTATAAAAGGAAACACACAGCAGCAGCACTTCTTTAACAGTCACCTTTGTAACATTAAAATTATTTACTTTCTTTTGAAACGAAAGCTTACTACATTGTCCAGGCTGACCTTGAACTTCCATCTCGTTCTCCCAAGTAATTGGAACCATGTGCATGTGCCATTTTTCCTAATTGGAACCATGTGCATGTACCACTTTGCCTAACTGGAACCATGTGCATGTACCACTTTGCCTAATTTTTCAAATGATGAAATTTGGCTATTCTTATGCTAATTTATGCAAGATATATATTTTCAAGGTTAACAAGAAAACTGTATCATAGACAAAAGAATATCGAATCCGTGACTTTCAACTTGCTCCATGCACTAGGGAAAGATATATGCCTCTGAATTTGTGTCTTTTTTACACTAAAAGAATTATCTTCATGCGTCCAAATCTTTCAATGTGTTTAAAAACCACTTCTGTGTGGTGTCAGTAAAGATACTAGTCTAAAAATAATGTGTCTAATTAATAACTATTGCCAAAAAACTTAAGTTAATAATGTGGCTATTTTTATATAAGGTTTTTATAATAAATAAAACCACATAATTTTTATATTCTATAATTCATGGTAACCAAAAAGCAGAGATATAAATCCTATATTCTACAGTGGGCACATGATTTTCAAGAAATAAACATGTATCTGCAATTTAGGCACATATTCATTTATATACATTATATGTACATACATATATTTATAATTTTTGAGAGCTGGGATTGATTGAACTCGTGAAAGTCCCAAGTATTACTGAGGCATAGCCTACTGATGAATCCTGCAGGTAGGTCTGATCTGTACCCTCAAACTAGAAACCACTCTGTGAGCTGAGGTGCTGAGTTCAGTGGTAGAACTCTATGTGTGAGGCTCTATACTGTTTCAGTGTTGGAGTAAAAATCCCACTCAAAACTCAGGACTTCACATGAAAATGTTCCATCAGTAAGATAGATCCCTAATCTAACTCTCTTAAATGTTAATGCTCTATTAGTTCTAACTTATAAAACCTATGAAAAAATTAAAGAATATTCCATACAGAGGCATACCTGCAAACATTATCAAAAGTATTTAGAAGGATTTACTCAATGCTTTCATAGTGGGAGAACTTTACTCATTATAACTTCAATGCTATAAGATATCTGATTCTGTTTTTCTTTTAGCACTGATTACTAATGCTTTTTATTCTTGTCTAAGAAGCGCGAGGCCCTGACTTCACTCCCCAATACTGGAAAAAAAATCTACACTTTTTGTCGAAATATTGGTGTGGAAAATAGAGTTAGGAAATATTATTATCAAACAGACATTATTGGAGGTAAATGTTAATTATGATTTTCAAATATGAAAGGTCTAAGAGCTCATGATAAAATTAATGAACTTATCAATAATGAAAAGGAAATCTAGTGGTTCTGTCCATATGAAACAAAAACACCGGCTGGTGTTGGGAATAATCAGTGGCACAGAAAACGCTATATTTAAATTATGTAAGTAACAAGTAATATTAAAGCCTGATGACATTGTATTGTTGCCTAATGTCATCAGAAAAAGCACTTCGAGGAAAGTTTTCAGAACAATGCTTATACGGGATCATCTGAAACAAACAAAATGCTAAGTACATGACACACACACAAATTAGGAAAAAGAGTGAGTATTTGCTGCCAGTGGTAAAGATGTTTATGAGTGCTCACTTAATGGGAAAAGAATAGTTTCTGTTAGAGACAGAACACTTACATCAGGGTTTGGGTCTAGATGAAAAATGAAAACAACAGATTTAGCAAGTAAAAATAATACATTTCATTTTGTACATATCACTCAAAAAATGTCAAGATAGGGTTAAGAAAACAGGTTTAGCAATGTGAGAAGTGAGAATGCCTGCAGACACACATCCCAGATAGAGGGCATCACACATTTAATACCGTGTTCATGTTCAATACAGAGAAAGGAGGCAAAGATGATTCTATTTAGTTTATAAACATATTTAAAAAGAATTGACATCTCAAAATTCAATTAAAATGCCATGCCTCTATCAACACTAAGCAAAAACTGACACTCAGTTTCACTTTATTAGTATATTTGAAAAGAAATATAAAGAAGCTAAGAGTATGAGTCAATCTTCAAGTCTAAATTCTAATTTTGTGGGCATACTTATTCCTTATGTAGTGTGCAGTATTTCAGTGTCAGTGCTGTGAAGAATAGTGCCATATGTATCAGAAGGAAATAGAGAAACTGACTTATGACTATGCACACATTCTTCTCCCACAGAAGGATGTGCTGTGACTTAAGAGAAATTAATAGAAACTTCTTTCACAAGCAACACTGGCTAGTAAGTTAATGCTAACTTTTATTTTTGCAGTTCCTTGACTTTCATGTTCTGATTTGTTCTTCTTTTTCTTCAATTTTACAATAACAGAATACTGACTGGGGGGAGTTATATATTACAGTGTTTTATTCTCTAAGTACATATAGCAAATTGTATAAATGTGCACATATTGTAACACACTACCACCACCAACAACAGCAAAACAACTTCTAACCTCACTTTCCAAAAGAATGAACATTATCTTAGTATAAATCTCTTATTACCAAGATGCTGAGATTTTAATATTCATCATTATCACTATCAAGAAACAAAAGCAGATGAAAAGTCCTGAAAAGATAAATTGACACCAGCAGCAGCAAAGATGAGATTTTATACTCATTAACTAAAATATACAGCTATCAATCCATTCTAGTAATTTCTTCCACTATACGTTACGAAGGTTTCTATGGATAACAGCTACACTCCACTGTAAAAGTGCATCTTTCTAGTGATACTATCTAGTGACTTTTAATTTCATGGCTCTTCTGTTTATGTAAGGAATATATTAACTGAGGTAACAGGTCCACTAGATTTGCTTATTTTAATTAATACAAAAGTTCATCCTTGGCTGGGTGGTGGTAGTTACACCTTTAATCAAGAGGCAGAATCAGGCAGATCTCTGAGTTCGAATACAGCCTGGTCTACAGAATGAGTTTCAGGGCTATACAGAACCCTATCTTGAAATACAAACAAACAAACAACAACAACAACAACAAAACAAAAAGTTCATTCTTTAAGAATAGTGCTAGTATTTTCTAAACCTCAAAATAATTAAAAGGAACAATTCTCCTTTAACATCTAACATTGATTGATACACAGGTCAGACCTATATAAAACTGAACAAAGCTTCCTGTTTATGTGCCATTAAGAGTAGCATGCATGGATAAATTGCCAAAAGAAACCCTTACCAAGTCTTGATTTGGAGTCAGTTAATACCTGTCTTTGTTTTTTCTGTCCCTTTCACACATGCTAGGGAGTAAACCCAGGATCTTGAACAATATAGGCAAGCATTCTACTACGGACTGATAACCAATCATTGCCTGGCAGTGGTGGCACACACCTTTAATCCCAGTATTTGGGAGGCAGCAGAGGCAGGTGGGTCTTTTTGAGTTTAAGGCCAATCTGATCTACAGAGTGAGTTGCAGGACAGTCAAAACTAAACAGAGAAACCCTGTCTTAAAGAAAACAAAACAAAAAACCCCAAAATAAAATATATAAATAAAAAATAAACCCAACAATTAGAAAAAAATCACCCACTCATGTTGGTTCTGACATGAACTCCCTTACAGTTTTTATGAACAGATGGTCCTGACAGCATCACGCTGCAGCACCTGGGAACTGGGGAGCCGAAATGAAAAGAAGAAATGTTTACTACACCATAATCATCTCTATTGACTCCTGAGGCTTCCAACAAATTCCTGAAGTCTTTCAAAAAGGAAATCATCACAGTTACACAAATTCTACTTTTCTACCAGTTGATATCAGTGCCATTTGAAGCTATTTTTCCTGAATCAGACAATTTTAACTTATTAAACAGTGATTTTACAATGTTTTATTAATCCTGACTGACAACAAATCAAAATAATGAAAAATTTTCCTAAACACAGTCTTTTACACCTAAATTTTTAAAAACTTATTTATGGGATTATAAAGAAAAGACCATAGGATACTGTGGTCAACAGGAGAGGGAAAATGAAAATCAAAATTTCTTCAGGATTCAACTGGAAAGACAATCAGGTATAAAGAAATGTATGGTCAGCAGAATAAAAGAGAATACAATTTTGAAAGGCTACCATTGTAAAATCATCTGTTGTTGCCCATAGAACATTTTAAGAGAATCATGCAATAATTCTTTCCCAAAAATAGACTCAATATATAAATTTCCGTACAATTTCTGAGATTTGCCAATCTTCCCAAAGTCCATGGAATCTCAGATTGCCAATACTGGTAGTTGTAAAACTTCTCTAACCTAATAACTCAAAAGTCACTTTTACAAAAAAACAAATAACAATTACTTTGAATTCCAAATTAAATCAATCAACTTTTTTACTTAAGAAATTAGACATAATGTAATATTTAACAAACTTTAACAAAATAGCTATCATCCAAACAGTTGTATATAACATGCAATAAAAGGTATTACTTTATCTAAATGGCTACTCTGAATTATGCAGTGTTACTCCATCTTTCACAACCTCTTAGAACATCACTGACAACTCATGATCATCAGGATGGAAGGATTAAGTACAAAGAGAGTACAGTTTTTGCTTAACAAAGACAAATTCACAAAATTTTGAATTTCACACATGTAACTTGTGCTGCAAATGTTACTCAAAGGACCAGCTGACCAAAGCCACAGTTAGCATTTTTGTTTAAACATACTGTTAATGAAGTACATTTGTAAAAATTACCTCTAGTTTTTCTTTTTCCTATTCAACTTTTGTTACTTAAGGATAATAATGCAATTTAATAAATTTTTATTACTAATATATTAAAGGTAGGGGTAGGGAAATAAACTATTGTTTATTTCAATATTTGTATTTAATCCAATTGTGCAGACCTGCAATTTTTGAAAACTCAATTGTACAACAAATGCCTAAAAGGTTATGCTTTTAATGTAATGGTCAGTAAAAAGAAAATGATTATCTAAAGAATACATGAAAAGTCGAATCTCTCAACTCTCCATTATCTATGCTACTTTATTAGAAATGTCTTAAATTTTGCTACTTAGATTAAGGGAATTCAATCTAAGTATATAATATTAGAAGTTTGTTTTTTAAAAATTGAATTGAATGATTTAGAAATGGATTACCAAATTGAATCAAATATATTTTCTCAATTCAACTTTAGTACTGGTTAACAAAACTAGACACATTGTTGATGAAACTTTTAAAATTGATTTAATAGAACCTACAATTTTATTTTTATTCTTGCTATGTAGCCCATGCTGACCTTGAACTTAAGATTCACCTGCCTCAGCCTCTTAAATGTTATCATTACAGGGATATGCCATAAAGTACAACTCAGCCTACATCTTCACAAATATCAAACCGTCGTAATCTTTAAATGTTTTTTAAGATAAAATCCTTAAAGATTTTCAGAGAGCAGAGAGATGCAGCTAAAGTGACAAAGCAATAACTGAAGTTTGGTTTTCCATCACAGATGGTGGGAATAACAATCACTTGAAATCTTGAGTATTATATTCAGTTTCTCCAGCTGAAATCTGACTGAGTCGCTTGCTAGATCCCCACAATTTTCGAGAGAGCTGACCTGAACGCATCTGTTTAAGAGAAATGAATAGATATTTAAAAAAAACAAAGATACATAAAATCAATATATATGATACTGAATTTGTAAAATGCAGAATAGGTTTTGTTAGCAAATTTGCTAACATTTTAAAAGATTCTTGATTAATAACTGCAGTACAAGAGACTGAACTCAAGGCCTCCTCTTGTTAGGCAAATACTCTAGAGCATGGAGCTAAATCCCTTTTTTAGACAGTCTCTCTAGCTGCTTGGTCTGACCCCAAACTCACCCAGTAGGCAGGCAGATCTTATGATTCTTATACCTTAGCCTCCCAACTAGCAAAGATTACAAGTGTGTACTCAGCAGAGTTCTAGTAATCATCACACTAGCAGGGGAAAGATGGGTGTAATTCAGGAAACTATCAAGGACCTCAATGTTTAATGGAAACATGTTTAAAATGTTTTAACTCTTTTTTAAAATATTTATTTATTTTATGCAAATGAGTGTTTGGCCTACATGTGCCTGTTGCCTATGAAGGTAAGAAGGGGTGTGAGTTTCCTTAGACCTGGAATGATAGACAGTTGTGAGGTGCTGCTGTGTGAGTGCTTGGAACTGAGCCCCAACTGGCCTGCTGTGACATTTCTCTAGCCTTTTTCTGTGGTTGTTTTGACAGCAGATCTTGGTACATTGCCCTGCCTTGCCTAGAACTTACTATGTATACCAGGTTGGCCCCCAAATTGTAGTGATTCTCCTGCCTCTGTCTCCCAAGCACTGGGATTATAGGTATGTACTACCACCCAACTCAATTTCTTCTCTTGAAGAAACACCTGTAGATACAATATTACATTTCTCAGGAAAAGCTAAGAGTGTCTCAAAAAATGCAATGACTAATTTAATCCCACATAATAAGTTTTCTGGGAGAATCACTAAGTTACCTGGAGTAGAGTCATTAAGTTTTCTGGGGAACAAATGTCAGATCCATGAAAGACTATTAGGCAAGTAAATTTCTGGTTACAGTAAACTCACTGCGAATAAGGATATGAATATAAGATATTTGTAGTTATAAATTAAAAAACAATGCCTTTATATAATAAATAAGTCATGCTTTGTATTTATTAAATCAAATTAGTTTTACTGTTGGAACCTATATTTTATTCTTATAAGAACTTTTATGCTATAATCTGCATAGTCTTCTTGAGTCTTGATGTGGAGTAAAATATTTTTCTCATTTACACAGTGATACAAAGACCAATCCATGAGCTTTTAATTTTATCATAGGATAAACACTACCACTTAACAATTTAATCTTTGGCTCTTTCTGAAACATCAAATTTATGTTTCAGTTTATTCATAATGGAGACTTCCGAGTCAGCTAGAATGAAGGACCGCAGGAACCCACAATAGTAAGGGAGAATCCATGATGCTGAATTTTACCTCGGCTGGCTTGCCAACACCTACTACAATCAATTTGCCATCTTCTAAGCCTACAAGAATGTGGCTGTATTCTTTGGTCACGGAAACACAGTAGATAGGTAATCGCATGGCTAATGGAGTGATGCTGAGATTCAAACTAGAAGAGATAAAGACCAGATATTGTTACATGCACAGAAGGTTATACATGAAAGGTAACTTCATCATCTACCTCTGCATTTCAACTTTTTTATAGGTATACAATACCATATCCCCAACTGTAGTTCATTTTCTCATAATATCCCTAAGTTCATCTCCATTTCAACTCCTATTAATTCTTCAACAATACTCCTCTGATTATTCAGATCCTAGCAATTCTTAAAACTCTTCTGCAAACACAATTTTCCTTTTTGTTGTTGTCTGAGATAGGGTCTTGCTATGCAGTCTAGGATGACTTTGAACTCACAGTCCTCCTGAATGTGCTACCTTGACTGGCAACTTCTAAAGAGTCTTAAACCCTTCAAGGTCAATTATTATAAACATCACAATACCAAGAATATAAGTTCTTTCATTAAATGCTTTTATCTGTAAGTAAATGTGTGTGATCTTTGAGGTTAATAAAACAGGTCTTTTTTGCTTTGTCTGATATTCCATTACAAAAAATGCCTTTGGTTATTTAAAGATTAGAAAGCAGAAAGCAGAGAACCCAATGACTTAGGTATATTTATATATACATGTGTGTATGTCTGTGTGTGTAATTAAAATTAAAAGAGTCCACTGGTTTTTCTAATTTGGAAATCTTCTGGAAAAGGGAATGAGTCCCAAATGCTGATACTGTAAGTATATTCCAGCATGCTCAGAACACTTGATGCTTCTTTTGTGTGTGGGACTTGCAAATGTGTGCAAGGCTGGTACACATATGAAGCTCAGAGGACAACCTCAGGTGTCTGTTCTCACTTTCCATCTTTTATGAGACAAGGTCACTGTGGTAATTTCAACATAATTGACCCCCATAATCTCATAGGGTGTGGCACTATTAGGAGGTGTGGCTTTGTTAAAGTGCGTATGAACTTATTGGAAGAGTGTGTGTCACTGTGGGGGTGGGCTCTGAGGTTTCCTATGCTCAGGAACCACCCAGTGTCTCAGTTGAATTCCTATTCCTGTTGCCTACAAGATGTAGGACTCTCAGCTCCTTTTCCAGCACATCTGCCTGCATGCCACCATGCTCCCCACCACAATGATAATAGACTGAACCTCTGAACTGTAAGTTGCCACCTCTTTTTCAGATAGGTTGAACATTTTAATTTAATTCACTTACCTGTGAAGTTCTCTTATAGACAGGAGCCCTTGTAAGCTGCCAGTGATAATGTGCTCCCCAATTATGCACATGTCTGATATTTGTTCATTCAGGACTTGAGACCCCAGATACTTTCCATTTATAGAAAACACATGTAACATGTTCTTATCCTACAAAGAAACAGGAAAGTTTAAGGATCTTGCATAAAAGTTGAGTTTTCATATCGTCAATTAAAATATAACAAATCAGGAAGATTTCTGAAATAAAAACATGACTGTATTCAAAGAAAAAGTATACAGAAAATTATCAGATTGACTTTAAATCATTACTGCCATGGAAACAACTATGAGTTAAATCAAAGAGTTAAAATATTTCAGTTCAAAAATATTTTATATTCCTAAAAAAGATGTTCTTTATATTTAAGAGCTTTACTATTAGAAGGAAATGAATACATAGAGATCCAGTCTATTTCTACACTGTCTTACCTACAAAAGAAATTTTGGCGATCACTCCTACTTGAAGTTCATGATATACCTCATACTACTACTGGCAGTGGTGGCACACGTCTTTAATCCCAGCACTCAGGAAGCAGAGGCAGGTGGATCTCTTAGTTTGAGGCTAGCCTGGTCTAGAGAGTGAGTTCCAGGACAGCCAGTGCTATACAAAGAAACCCTGTCTTTTTTTTTTTAATTGCTTTTTGTGTATGTGGGGTTAGGTAGTTAACCTAGGGTTCCAATGCATGCAAGGCAGGCAGCCTACCAACCAAGTTACATCCTTAGCTAAAAGAAATTACGTTTGAGGGGGCTGGAGAGATGGCTCAGACCTTAAGAGCACTGAGTGCTCTTCCAGAGGTCCTGAGTTCAATTTCCAACAACCACATGGTGGCTCACAACCATCTGTAATGAGATCTCGTGCTCTCTTCTGGCGTGTAGACAGACATACACGAAGGCAGAACACTGAATACATAATAAGTAAATCTTAAAAAAAAGGAATTACATTCAAAACCATGTATAATGTTAGGCTAAAAGAAATATCTGAAATGAAATATAAATATCAGGACAATAATGTGGCAGAAGTCTATCTAACAATGAGAAAGAACTGAACCATAGAAAAGCTGCCCCTGCAGTGAGGGGAGAAAACATTAGTGATGGTCTACACCTGCTGCACAGAAGGAAATACCTTGAGAGCAGGCTTCTCCTCCAAGCTGGAATAGATGACAATGTGTCCTTCCCAAGAGACAGCCAAACTGGGAATGGTCAGGAACAGGGAACTCTCACAAGGTGGCCGTAAAGTCCTCATGTATTGACCTTTCTGAATGGTATGTATAATCACAGTACCATCCTACACACAGGAGATTCCAGAGAATGAAAAACACAAAACAACAAAAAGGAGAAGGCAAAGTGGCTGAATAATGAAATGTGGGAAAGACGCTGAGGAAATAATTATCCCACAGATGAATTATATGCTTTAGGTAAAACCCTAATCTTAGAATTTTAAGTAGCATATCATTTTACAGAGTGTCATCTTCCTGAACTAGTAAGGCCAATAAGATCCCCCAATACAACATAGCCTCTTTTAAGTTTATTCTCTCTGTATTACTCTATGTTAACAATGCTCAAAATAAATATTAAAAATATTCTATTTCCATAAAACCTTTTCAAATATAAACACTGTTACCCAATTTATAGAAAAAGTATTATTTCTTAAAGGTGAAATCTTACCCTTGACCCTGATACTGCCATGTCAAGTTCAGTGCTGATGCCCACACTCAATATCTCATCAGTGTGTCCATAAAGAATCTGAAAAGGTTTAGATGCTAAGCCCACAGCAGTGCCTCCCTAAAATTAAAAAAGAAAAGCAAACGTGAAATGGTGTCTTGCTATTTTTTTCGTCTACTCACAAGCCTCTTTTGTCTTTTGTAACAAAGTTTATACTATATTCAAACATTCTTTTAACAAAGTAATAAGACAGGTAGTTAGAACCACTGAGTTCACTCACAGTAATACTCAGTCCAAAACTTACACAGAATAGTATTAATGCTGACTTCTTATATTAGTTTTTCCAAGTTATTTGCTCTTTTAATCTACAAATGAATTCTTTCTTAATTTAAACTAATATTATATAAATGAATACTTATTAGAGCAGTAGTTCTCAATCTGCAGGTTGCAACTCCTCTGGGGGTCGCATATCAGATATTTACATTACAATTCACAACTGTAGCAAAGTTAGTTATGAAGTAGCAATAATTTTACAGTTGGTGATCACAACAAGAGGAACTGTATTAAAGGGTTTTAGAATTAGGTAGGTTGAGAATCATGTCCTGGAGTCTGTACTTTAGGGACATCAATTATATTTATTCTGATTGCCTTTAATTCATATGTATGTATCTGTGTGAATGTATGCCTCTTCTAACCGGTGGAGGTTAGAAGATAGCATTAGAGTCACAAGCAGTTGTGAGCAGCTTGATATGCGTGCTGGAAAACAAAACTGGGTCCTCTAGAAAAGCAGCAGCGTTAATCACTGAGCCATATCTCTAGCTCCTGTCTTTAATTTCTATAGCGATCATTCTTCTTCTTAATTGTCTATGTATGCATGCACAGTACCCTGCTCTGTTGTTCTTGGTGTTGAGACACGGGAAGCAATGAATTTGGAGCCGTTTTTCACATAACCTGGCTGGCAATAAGTACCAACAATCCTCTTGCTAGAAATCTAATTCTGCAACATCACCAATGATGCTTTAAACACTTATTAGGACTTCATGCATGCTATGCAGATGTTCTACCACTGAGACATGTCCCCAGTACTTTAAGAAATAATTTTTAAAACCCGAGTGTCATGACTTTAAACTATCACTTTGTAGCCAGGCAAGCCTTAACTTTGTGATGCATCTGCCTCAGCTCCACACAGGCTGAAACTGCTGAAGAAAATTTCTCTATAATGCCTTTGTCATTAAACCTGCCTTGTTTACATTTACTTTATATTTGAAGAAATGTGAGCTGTGTGTCACATTGTTTTATTCTTATTTATTCTAGATAAGTCTGTCTAGACCCTCTGTTTTTATATTACACATAAATACCCCTGTAAACTCTACCATTTGGGATACATGTAATGTACCCTATATAATTCACTTTAATATTTACAAATCAGATCAGATCATGCTTGTACCAAGTAATTAAAGTAACAAAAAACTTTACAATTCAAGTGAAAGAAGAAACACTTATTAAATTCATCCAATAAAGGTTGCATATCCAAATATTAAACATCATAATGACAAAACAAAAACTGATCTTTTACTTAAGAATACGGAAAAAAAGTGAGGCCTTATTTTTTAAAAAAAAGGAGAAAAAATTATAGTATTAGCAAGTAAAATACAACAGCAAAATGTGGTAGCAATGAAAATGAATAATGTTAATTTGCTATATGATTCAAAGCAGTTCAAATCTAAGAAATTTCTTAATTTACTGCATTTAGAAAAAAGAAAAGGAAGCTCTAAAAGTAATTATAGTCAAAAAATGAGATCAGATAATGGCACTGTACAAATGTTAAACATTCTCATTTTAGCAATTGCACTATGGTGGTAAGAATGACTTTTTATCAAGATGGACCTGTAGGTAAAGGTACTTGCTAGCAAGCATGATATTCTAAGTTTGGTCCCCATGGTGGAAGAAGAGAACTGACCCACAAAAGTTGTAAACTGACCTTCACATATGCACCATGGCATGTATGCATTACCCCCATACATGTAAATAAATAACCATAATAAAAATTTAAAAAGAAAGTCTTTGTTCTTGGAAGACATACATAGATGTGCTCAGTGGAATAGGAAGTACTGCCAACATTTAAATCAGTGAGAAAAATAAACATGCTGAAAGGGGAAAGATATTGAGAATGTTAAGACAAAGGTATGAATTTTTGTAACTTTTCTATAAGTTTGAAAGTTCATTAAAATTAAAAAGTTACCAAGATAAAAAATAACTAAATATAAAACACAATATTGATAAAAACTCACAGCAAACACTATCAAGCAGCAAAACTGTAGTGTCATTTTCAATCAAAATCAGACGTAAGTCAGGATATTCACTATCACGTTCTAACTCTACTGCAATGTAATAGGATAAGAAAATAAAACAATATATTGGAAAATTGGGAGAGTCACCATTATTTCTAGATCACTTGATGGTATAGACACTTTAGGGTCAGAAAAATCCAAGAATGTCATAATTATGAATTTAAAAATGTGGTAAAGTTAGTGAAAATAAGATATACATACATCGCTGATGGTGGTGGTGATGCACGCCTTTACTCCCAGTATTCAGGAGGCAGAGGCAGGTGGATCTCTGTGACTTAGAGGCCGATCTGGTCTACAGAGTGAGTTCCAGGACAGACAGGATTACACAGAGAAATCCTGTCTCAAAAAACAAAAAAGGATAACCATACAACAATCAATCACGTTACTGCACAACTTTCCTTCATAGTAGTAAAAATAAGTAAGAAATGAATATTCTTCTAAAAGTACCAAAAGAGTAGTAAAATTGTGCCATTCAGAAGTAAATATAGCATAGTATAGAACACAAATGGAAATAAAGTGATTAAGGATTATCCAAAGACATTAAAAGGGTATGAGACAAATAATGAAAAGGCATTTTGTATTTTTCTATAAAAATAATTATAATAATGTCAATACACAGAAATAAAATTTCTTTATGTTTTTCTTTACTTTTTTTTGAGACAGGATTTTCTTTGTGTCATATTTTAGAGTATTGTTATGTAAACCAGACTAGCTTTAGGGTCATCATAAAGTCCAGGCCTTATCAGGGATATTGGAGGAGAATCTACAATCCCTAACTTACTAAACCAGCAGAATCCCTAACAACAATCTATAAACATTTTCCTCATACTCACAGGTAAGTTTTCACCCCTCATCAGGGAAATTTTTCTTTGTGACAGAAAAACCACAAACATCTATAAAACAACTCCCACACATAAGGCTCAGTGATCATTGCAAAAGATAAGGCAGAAAGAGTGCAAAAGCAACAGATTCAGACAGTCAACTGTGGGATTGTCTCCTAGTAGCACCAGAAACTACACCCATCAAGTTTCATCAGTACAACTGCCCAAAAGTCGCTGAACAAAGGATGACAACAATGAACATGGAGTCTCAACTCTACACAAAGAACAACAGGCAACTGAGTAAAACTGAGAGAGGGAGAGACGGTCCTTCCCAGGAATAGCACAACCAACTAGTTGCCCAGTGTCAAACAGTTAATTCTTAAAACATGCATACAAGTAATGTTATATGGACTCAACAAGTTATATTTAGGAATATATGCATATATATACTGCGAGAGCGCCTTCTGCTCCTTCAGCCAATAACCGCCGAGATACCAGCCCACCGGGCATGGTCCATTTCTATAAAAAAAGAGCGGCAGTCTTCTGCTCACTCTCTTGCTTCCAGCTCTTGCTCCAGCGATTAGATGTCTTTCCTGGCTTTTGGTGTTCTGTAAGTTTTTCCCCTAAAATAAATACTCCTGTGAATCCAAACTGGTGTGGTTGTTTCGCGCATTATATATAAGTACACATACAGATGCAATAACGATTAAAGAAAAAAGAGGTCATTAAATTTGAAAGAGAGTGGGAAAGGGTATATGGGAAGGTTTAGATATAGGAAAAGGAAGATAGAAATGGTATAATTAAGTTATAATCTGAAAAATGAACAATAAAAAGCTCAGGCTCCGAGTCTGTAATCATCCACATCATGTCCAGTTAAGAACAATTTTCAGTAAGACTACCACAGAATTTTAAAAAGGGTTTTGTGTGACAAAGTGTGTAGTGTACATGTGTGGCAAGGGCTGCACTTGCCCATGCATGCATGTATGGAAACCAGGGACTGATGACATTCATGATAGCTTCAATTGCTTCTCTTCCTCAATTTTTAAGACAATTTCTCTCTGAGCTCAAAATGTCATTTAATACCAGAGAAAAACTTGTTATCCCAGTCCAAGAACATAAATGTGTTATTTATTATTACCTGTTGCATTATCTGCCATATCATACATGTAGTGTCTCTGGAACCAGAAATCAAGTGTATTCCACAGTAATCTGTAGCTAAGCAAGTCACAATATCTGTTTGAAGAAAGAATAAAATAAAAAGGATATGTTTTGTCAGAACAGACTTTGAGGGCAGTTTCAGTTAATGTTCAAATAATTACTAAGCCAGGGCTGGCAAAATGGCTCAGCAAGAAAAGGAACCTGCCAAGACTGGTGATCTGCACTTAATCCCTTTGGATACACATAGCAGGAGAGTCCTGACTCCTGCAAGCAGTCATCTAACTTCCAAGTGCACATATATGTGCTGTCCTCCCCCCTCCTCCCAAAATACCCACCCCCAAAATAATTAAATGTAACAAAAAACATCAGGTCAGAGTAACAGAGGACACTTGCAGGATCAAAGTCATCCAGAGAGCCTTCATTGAGTCAGTTCATTCTGGGTGAGATGTGATGTGCTAAGTGTTGACACAGTATTAGCATCGTGGGCTGTCAGAGAACTGAGAATAGATTCATAGGCAATTCTGCTATGTGTTCTGCTCTCTCTATTCACATTCTCTTCCTAATGAAAAAGTGCTATCTCATGGAATGTATCCTTAAAAAACAGTACAGGGAACTGACGGATGGTTCAGCAGTTAATAATTTATGGGATTATCTTCCAGAGAATTTAAGTTTGATTCCTAGCACCTATTTAAAGGCTGACAACTATCTGTAACTTCAGTCCCAGGGGATCTGTTGACCTCTTTAGACTCAGTAGACGCCACACACACGGTATACAGATAAACATGCAGACAAAACACTCATACACATACAACAAACACACAAACAAATAAAAAGATAGTACATATTATGGTGCAAATTCATAACATAAAAAACAATTTCCAGAATAGTTCCGTAACAACTACACAAAGTGATACCTTAGAATACCAGTAGATAAAATCAGATTGATAACTAGTAACTGTTACTAGTAACTAGTTAACAGTTCTATCTAGTAACTGATAACAGATGCAGACATCCACAATCAGTACTAGGCTGAGCTCTGGGAATCTTGAGGAAGAAAGGGAGGAGGAATTTTAGGAGCTGGGGGAAGGGCTCATGACGGAAGGGGTAAAGACTCATAGAGACAGCTGACCTGAGCTCGTGGGAGCCCATGGACTCTGGACTAACAGGGAGCCTGTATGGAACTGACCTAGACCCTCTGTATGTATGTGGCAGTTGTGTTGCTTGATCTGTTTGTAAGGCTCTTAGCATTCATCCCCATGTTGTACTGTCTCATTCAACCTTGAGACAAGGGAAGGAGATAGATCCTGCCTCAACTTGATGTGCCATGCTTTGTTCAAGCTCATGAAGAGGCCTGCCCCTTTCTGAAAGGAGACAAAGGGTATGCGTGTGTGTGTGTGTGTGTGTGTGTGTGTGTGTGTGTATGGGGGGGTTAGGAGGTGAAGAGGGAGGGAAAACTGTGGTCGGAATGTAAGATAAAAGAAAAAAATGTTATTATTTAACAAAATTTAAAAAAAATCACCAGTAGAGAACAACAGATTCCATTACCCTCATTTAACAAGTTTTTTGAGAAAAAAGTTTTTATTCTTATACCGAGGCCTGAAATAATAAGATGTTAATATATATTCAACAATTAACTCATACTTTACTGTTAATAATGTCTTTATGTAATGATGACAAATTTTTATTATGTGGCCACAACATCATTGTTTAACATCTAAATAAAACTTGATTTAATAACTTCCAGTGCAATATAAAAACATATTTAATTTATATGGTATTTGAATGTACACTCAATATAATAAGCTATCAGGAACATGTACCACTTTTATACAGTTGAAAAAAAACAGGGGTTGGAGAGATGGTTTAGTGGTTAAGAGCACTGACTGCTCTTCCAGAGGACCCGAGGATCAACTCCCAGCACCTATATGGCAGCTCACAACTATCTGTAACTCTAGTTCCAGGGGATCTGACACCTCACATAGACATACATGCAAGCAAAACACTCAGTATACACAAAAGAAAACTTAAATAATTAAAACTAAAAAACCCCAGAAGAACACGTTTTGTGGAAAAGTTAATTCTTACCTATATGTCGGATGTTATGTGAGACAATTTTGCCTTTGGTAAGTGATGTTACTTGGATACTATTATCCCAGTGTCCAGCACTAAAGAGCAACTTTGCATCATGTGACACTACAAACAGCTTGGAAGTGATTTTCAGCCCTGGAGCAAAAGGACCATTCACAGTTCGCTGAGCTCTGTAAACATAATTGGATTTTAGACTTTTCCTTAACAGATCACATTGAATATTACCAACAATAAAATATTTCTCAGACAGGAGGATGGTGCACTGTTTAACTCAAGAGGCATAAAGGGTGCTGTTAGTCTGAGGCCAGTCTAGTCTCCACAGTGAGTTCCAGGTCAATTAGAGTTACATAATGAGACCCTGTCTGAAAGCAAATAAAGCAAATAAAAACCCAAATAAAGCAATGACGATCAAAATCCCAGCAAAATTCTTCACAGACCTCAAAAAAATGGTATCCAACTTTATTATGGAAAAGCAAAAAATTTAGAATTACCAAATAATCCTGTACAATAAAGGAACTTCTGGAGATATCACAATCCCTGACTTCAAACTCTACTCCAGAGCTATGGTACTGAAAACAGCCTGATATTGGCATAAAAACAGACAGGAGGACCAATGGAACCAAATCAAAGACTCGATATTAATCCATACACCTATAAACACCTGATTTTTGACAAAGAAGCAAAAAAAATTTTTCAAATGGAAAAAGAAAGGATATTTAATAAATTGTGCTCATATCACTGGATGTCAACATGTAGAATAATGAAAATAGACTCATATCTATCACCATGCACAAAACTCAAGTCCAAATGGATCAAAGAACTCAACATAAAGTCAGCCACACTGAACCTCATAGAAGAGAAAGTGGGAAGTACACTTGAACGCATTGGCACAGGAGACCACATCCTAAATATAACCCCAGCAGAACAGACCCTGAGAGCAACAATTAACAAATGGGACCTCCTGAAACTGAAAAGCTTCTGTAAAGCAAAGGACACGGTCAACAAGACAAAATGACAGCCTACAGAATGGGAAAAGATCTTTATCAACCCCACAAAAGACAGAGGTCTGATCTCCAAAATATGCAAAGAACTCAAGAAATTGGTTATCAAAAGAACACATAATCCAATAAAAAAGTGGAGTACAGACCTAAATAGAGAACTCACACAAAGGAATCTAAAATGGCTAAAAGACACTTAAGGAAATGTTCAACATCCTTAGTCATCAGAGATATGCAAATCAAAACAACACTGAGATTCCATCTTAAACTGATGACAACTTATGCTGGAGAGAATGTGGGGTGAAGGGAATACTCATACATTGCTGGTGGGAATGCAAGCTGGTACAGCCCCTTAGGATATCAGTATGGCAATTTCTCAGAAAAAAATTAGTAAACAACCTTCCTCAAGACCCAGTAATACCACTTTTGGGTATATGTCCAAAGGATGGTCAACCGTGCCACAAGGACATGTGCTCAAATATGTTCATAGGAGCATTGTTTGTCATAGCCAGAACCTGGAAATAACCTAAATGCCCCTCAACTGAAGAATGGATAAGGAAAATGTGGTACATTTACACAGCAGAAAAAAAAAACGACATCTTGAAATTTGAAGGCAAATGGATGGAGCTTAGAAAACATCATTTTGAGTGAGGTAACCCAGACCCAGAAATACAAGTATCACATGTACTCACTTATAAGTGGCTTTTAGACATAAAGAAAACCAGCCTACAAATCACAATCCCAGAGAACCTAGACAACAATGAGGACCCTAAGAGAGACTTACATAGATCTAATCTACATGGGAAGTAGAAAAAGACAAGATCTCCTGAGTAAATTGGGAGCATGGGGACCTTGGAAGAGGGTTGAAGGGGAGGGGAGAGGCAGGGAGGGGAGCAGAGAAAAATGTAGAGTTCAATAAAAATCAATAAAAAACCCCAAATAAAGATTATTTTTAAGTAGTAAAGAATAATATAACAATTTACCATTCCCAATATAATATTTTATTTTATATTTGTTATAACAGAAATTCAGCCATGTCTGAATGCCAAATACTGTCAGGTTATAACTTAAAAACAGAGAAGGGGAAGGAAAGAGAAAATCGTTTTCTCAAAGCACTACTTTAAAAATTACAGGAATGGCTGGGCAGTGGTGGTGCACACCTTTAATCCCAGCACACACTTTAATCCCAGAAGATGCAGGTGGGTCTCTGTGAGTTCAAGGTCAGCCTGGTCCACAGAGTAAGATAGCCAAGGCTACACAGAGAAAACTGGTCTAGGGGGAAAAAACAAAACAAAAGAAAAAAAATAAATAAAAAACCCAACTATAAAACAACAAAAACCCATTTGCTGTCTGCTTACTTTGGGTTAGTCACAGTTTGATCCTTGATGAATGTGAAGTAGTTAGAAATATTTCTGTCATAAGGTAGCCATCCATGGGTTCCAATAACATAATTAATGTTTACTGTTACCTAAAAAGAATATATGAAAACTCAAGTAAAATATATTCAAGAACATGGTTAAAAATAGCCAGATGCTCACAGATTTTTGACATTATCATTAGGTGAATACTGTAAGATATATGAAGCCAAATCCTAAATAATTTAAATGGAAATAACTATTTATTTACAGCTTACTGTAAGAAGTTATTTTTTAGCTAATTATTTTTCATATTAAATTCTCAGATTATTAGCATTAATGTTAACATTTGGAGGAAACTAAAGGTTAACTCTGCCATGACAAATATGATATAATCATCACTTAGCCCAAATCAGGAGAATTTACAGTTACAATGTCCCTGAAGCAGTAGTCTTAGTATGTACTTGCTTTTAAAAGTGTAAAGATTTCTACTCCTTCAATTATAAAACAACACAATAACCATGCTCTGACTCAGGAAACTTAAAAAAAAAAACCACACATTGGTTTTACCAGCAGTTGGGAGGCAGAGGCAGGCAGATCTTTCTAGGCAGATCTCTCTCTGAGTTTGAGGCCAGGCTAGTCTACAGAGCAAGTTCCAGGACAGCCATGGCTATACAGAGAAACCCTGCCTCAAATCTGACACCCACCCCATAAAAACACACAGATTTTAAAGATGAAAACTACAGAATCTTACCACTGAAAACCACTATCAATATTATTGTATATATTTCTAGAATAGTTTTCTAATCAAGCACAATATATACCATTATAAAAAGCAATTTAATTCTGAAGTCTCAACTGTTAGCCGTGCTACAGCACATTTCTATCACACCCAAGTTACAGAATTAGAATAAGATGAACCTACTTGCTAGCTCTGTGATTTTGGTCATGGAACTTCTGAGATTTAATTTCTTATCCATAAAAGGAATATACTAGTGCCTACTACAACAGAGCTGTTGGGTGGGCTAAATAAAAAACTGTGTAAAACACTCACTGAAATGCCCTAGAAGAATACCTTAGGGTGGGGTGGGGGTAAGGGGAGATGGGGAGAGAGAAGGGAGAAGGGGAAGATTGGAGAGAGCTTGGGGGGATGGGATAGTTGGGATGGAGGAAGGGTGGATGTGGGAGCAGGGAAGTAGATATCTTAAATGGGGGAGCCATTTTAGGGTTGGCAAGAGACTTGACTTTAGAGGGGTTCCCAGGTGCCCAAGGAGATGTCCCCAGCTTGTGCCTTGGGCTGCAGAGGAGAGGGTGCCTGATCTGGCCTTCTCCCATAGCCACACTGATGAATATCTTGCATATCACCATAGAACCTTCATCTGGCGATGGATGGAGATAGAGATAGAGACCCATATTAGAGCACTGGACTGAGCTCCCAAGGTCCAAATGAGGAGCAGAAGGAGGGAGAACATGAATAAGGAAGTCAGGACAACGAGGGGTGCATCCACCCACTAAGATGATCTAATGGGAGCTCACCAAGGCCAGCTGAACTGGGACTGATGGAGCATGTGATCAAAACCGGACTCTCTGAATGTGGCTGACAATGAGGACTGACTGAGAAGCCAAGGACAATGGCACTGGGTTTTGATTCTACTGCATGGACTGGCTTTGTGGGAGCCTAGTTTGTTTGGATGCTCACCTTCCTAGAACTGGATGGAGCAGGGAGGATCTTGGACTTCCCACAGGGCAGGGAACCCTGACTGCTGTTAGGACTGGGGAGGGAGAAGAAGGGGGAATTGGGGGAATGGGAGGGAAATGGGAGGAGGTGGAAATTTTTTAATAAATAAATAAAAATAAAAAATTTAATTAAAATAGATTTTATCATTTTCAAAAAAATACCTTAACAAGATCTGTATTAGTTCGATTATTGCTATTAAAGCTATGGTGATAAGATTCCTAGCTATTTTCATAGATTTATTTTTCTAGATAAATGTAATAATTATAATAACTACTTAAAGCAAAATATACAAAAGACATTTTTATATTTGATCAAATTAATTTCATAACAAACTTCTCCATTATTTTTTGTAATGCTGAGGATCAAACCTATGGCTTCATACATGCTAGGCTCTACCATAAAGCTATTCTTCTAGTTTTCTTGATTATTTTAAAAATATTCTTTTATGGGATAGAGAGATGGCTCAGAAGAAAAAAAGCACTGGCTGTTTTCCAGAGGACTCAGGTTTGAATTCTGGCCCCCATCTGGTGGCTCATAACTATCTAGAACTCCAGTTCCAGAAAATCTATGCCCTCTTCTGACTTCTGCAGGAACCAGGCAAGCATGCAGTATATATCAAACAAACAAAATATCTATACACTAAAATATACTAAATTTTTTTCAAGTTTTTTATTGGGTCAGTGATATAGCTTAGAATCATAAGGTCCTTGCCACCAATCCTGAGGACCCAAGCTCAATTCTTCTCATATGGAAGGAGAGAGTCAACTTGCCCAAGTTGTTTTCTGACCTCCAGATGCCATGTGCATACCCTCACATATACACACATAATGGATTTTAGAATTGTAACAGGAATATTTTTACATTTATTTCTATTTTTGGTAAACATTGTAGTATGAAATAGGTATACATAAACTTACCAGTAACTCAGGGCTGCCTTGAGACATAAAAGAACGAGATTGATTTTGGGGGATGATGGCCTTTAATAGAGGAATACCATCACTAATTCCCTGTAAAATAAAAGATGTTTAATGGTTGGTTCTGTTCATTTATGAGGTACAAATTATGTCTCTGCTATACTGAAACAAACATAATGCAGATGTAATAAGTTAAATGAGAAAGTTGTTTATAATTTATAAAAAATATTTTGGCTTTACATCAAAAACATTGATATATTTTGTTAACTGAGGTTCTTTCTGAAAGTTCTATTTTATGAAAATCATATATTTTGACCCAAAAATGAATATCATTCTGAGAAAACAATTGCCATAATCTTATCACAATACAAAATAACAATAATTTGAATTATTTTTCTGATGTGTTTATAGTTAAAAAATGACAGATAACACTTACTGTGGATAACATTATTGAATATATAAGCCATGTAACAAATATTATTCTAAGAGGTCTATAAGAACTAATAATGTTATAAAATCCAATAAATAATGTTATGAAATTCATAAAAACTGCTTTTCTCTTCAAATTGTGAATCAAGAGTAATTTGTGACTCCAGCCAGAGAAGCAAGAAGGCTGACTGTAGATCTCGAGCTCTCCCTTAGACACTAAGTCACCCCCAGCTCTGTAGACTTCCTGCTGCATTCTCCCTCCACACTCTTACCCCATCTCCAGTGGATCACACAGACCTTCCCTTCCTAACTTCCTTCCCCACTCACTGCTGTATCCCAGCCTCCAACCCTAGTAACCATTCCCTTGGAACCAGACGGCTACTCTGACCAGGAAAGGCAAGTAAGCTAACTGAAGGTCTTCACCTCCAATCATCCAAGTCCAATTCTAAGTCTCATCCTCCGCTCTGTAGCAGACCTTCGCCTCTCCTCCCTCTCTGCCCTAATTCCCAGATGACTACGCAGATCCTGGTGGAATGCCTTGCTATCAGCTCCTCTGTAGTCTATCCCCATATCTAAGTGTCAGTTCCCAATACCTAGAAATTCTCTGCTCCCGTTCCTGGCTGGAATGCCTTGCTTTCCTCCCTCCTGTGGACCCTCTCTCAGTGCCCGTCAGGCCATTTCCATTCCTAAGTGTCAGCTCCCAATTCCTAGAAACACATTTTATCTAGAACTCCCCCAGTGACTGTATCTATTAGGATCCCAGAGGAATTCCCCACCAGGCAACACAGAGTCGCCACAAGAACCAGAGAAGGAAACAGAAACCAAGGACAAACTATCCATCCATCCACCCAACAAAGACAACACCAAGTATCAGCACCTAGAATTACAATCTTCCAAAACTTAGATACTTAGACACCAGTAAAAACCCAAAATAACAGTCAGGATAATGTCTTCACTAGAGACCAGCAACTATATCACACCAAACTCTGAATATTCCAAAACAGTTGAAGCACAAGAAAAAAAAAACTTATCTTTTAAGTATATAATGAAGATCCTTAAAGAGAAAAGGAACAAATCCCTCAAAAAAAAAAAACCCAAAAAAACAAAAAACAAACAAACAAAAAACCCCTACAGAACACAAACATTGATCCATTCAAGACAAGATTCCGCATTCTCTGGGAGAAAGGGCACGGGAGGGAGAGGAAGGGGGGCAGAGCCATACCTGCTGGACTTGCCCTGGGGCTCAGCAGGATGATGAATATCACCACCCAGACCTCCCTGCTAGTCACTGAGAAGAAACACACACACTTGAGTTGGGAGTCTGTCAAAGCAGGATCTTGTTTAACTGCATTAGGCAGGAACTTATGTAGGCTGAGACGGGGTGGGAAGCCTGGGATGGGTCAAGGCAAAGCAAGGAACAAGGGGCAATAATATTCTGCCACGTAAGCAGTGGTTGAGCAGAGACGGGCCTGGGTAGCCAGACAGGTATCTAAATTCAAGCTAGGCTCAGAAAGCTACACTAGGCCTCACCAAACTCAAGTTAGGCTTAGGAAGTTACACTGAGCCTCATGTCCAAGCCTCATGAGGCCCAACAGCAAGAGAATAAAAATAGAATTAATAAAGAAAACTCATACTCATGGAACTTTAAAAATGAGAAATTTAGGTACTCAAATAGGAACCTCAAAAGCAAGCCTCACCAACAAAATATGAACGATGGAAGAGAATCTCAGGCATTAAAGACACGAAGAAGAAATGGATACTATGGTGAATCAAAAAAAAATGTTAAATCTAAAAAAAAAAATCCTGACACAAAACATTCACAAAATCTGGGACACTATGAAAAGATCAAACCTAAGAATAATATGAATAGAGGATGAAAATGAAATACAGTCAAAGGCACAGAAAATATTTCCAACAAAATCATGGAATAAAATTTTCCTAACCTAAATAAGAAGACATCTATCAAGATACAAGAAACATCCAGAACATTAAGTAGACTGGAATTGAAAAGAAAGTCCTCTCAGTAATAGTAAATTGACAAATGTAATCTACCAAATAAACAACTTGAAAGACAAAAAGCACATGATCATCTCCTTAGATGCTGAAAAGACCAATCCAACATGGTCATTAGACATCAGGGAAATGCAAATCAAAACGACTTTGAGATTTCATCTTACACATGTCAGAATGTATAAGATGTATATCAATGATACAAGTGCCGGTTTATGTTGGGGAGGATAAGGAGCAAAGGGAATACTGGTGGTGGAATTCAGACTTGTAAAGCCACTATGAAAATCAATGTGAAATTTCTCAGGAAGATGGGATTCGATCTACCTCAAGATCCAGCTATACTCCTCTGGGGTATACATCCAAAGGATACTTCATCCTATCACTGAGATTCATGTTCAACCATATTTATTGGTGCTCTATTCATAATAGCCAGAAACTGGAAACAACTTAGATGTTCCTCAATTGAAGAATGGATAAAGAAAATATGGTACACTTATACAAGAAAATATTACTCAGAAGCTGAAAAAATACTTGCAAATAACAGGTAAATGGATAACTATAAAAGACAAAAAAAAATCACCCTGAATGAGGTATCCAGAACAAGAAAGACAAATATACTATGTATTTGTTACATGTAATTATTAGCTGTTTAATCAATGATAACTAAACCACAATCTGTAAACCACAGACATAAAGTAAAGGACTGGAGTGAACAGATAGATCTCTCTAGTAAAGCAAAATAGAATAAATAGTTATAGATGGATGGGAGGTGGGGACTGAAACAGAGGGATCAAATGAGGAGGTGGAAGGGAGAGATGGATGGGAAAGGAATACAGAGAGAGATAGCTAAAATTAAGGGCCATTTGAAGAGTTTGAAAACCTAATACAGTAGACACTTCTTAAAATACATACAAATATGAAGATAATCTAAATGAAATTGCCAAATAATGGGAAAGACAGAGCCCCATTTGGATATCTCTTGTCACCAAATGGAGATTCCAGCACCAGGATTGGTTTACATTTAATAGAGTTGTTGGTCCATGGGAACTTCCAAAAATCCAGGCTGTTGCCAAGCTGTACTCCATAAACTGCCAGCAAGGCTCCATTGCTGAGGACAATACCTACACAACACTCTGAACATGGAGAAGTCTAGCTGGTGCCTACATGGAGCCTTTACCCCTATATGCTAACATCTTTAGTACAGGGAGATACTCTCCACACTAACAAAAGAGAAATGTTAACACCAAACAAGTCACACACCCTCTGATCTACATTGGTGTCCTGCCTGTAAGATATATGAGTGCAACGGTGGTGCAAAGTTTGTGGGAGAAACTCTAAGTGTTATAGTTAAGAAAGGAAAGGTATCCTGGCAGTTGGGAGCCAAAGAATACCATAAAGTCACACTGCATAATAAAGTTCACACAAGAGATTTGTTGATAGGGAAAAACACAGGAGGGTGGTTGCCTCAGGGAAAGGTACAGCAAAGAATTGAGCAGGAGGCAGGATTTACACAGAGTTTCTTGTGTTTGGCCATGGGAATTGGGGTGGGGCTTTGTACTTAACCACAGGCCATGGCAGTCAGAAGACCAGATAGGAAACAGAAACAAAGGAAGAAAATATCTATCCAAAAAAGACAAATCTAGAAACCAGCACGTAGACCTATCTATAAATCACTCCAAATCAGATGCCTAAACCTAAGTGTAAGAACATAAACAACCAGGTCAGTATGTCACCACCAGAGCCCAGCCAGCTCATTACTTCAAGCCCTGAATATTCCAAAAGAGTTGAAGTACAAGAAAATGACCTTAAAACCAACTTTATGATGATGACAGAGGTTCTTAAAAAGGAAATGAGTAAATCCCTTAAAGAAATCAAACAGACAAAAAAAAAAAAAGTTGGATGAAATCAATAATCTCTTAAAGAATGTCAAGAAAACAGTTGAAAGAAGTGAATAAAACTGTTTGAGACCTGAATATATATGCAATATGGAAAACACAAACTGAGGGAATTCTAGAAATGGAAAACTTAGATGAATAAACAGGAACTACAGCAAGCATCATCAACAGAATACAAGAGATGGAAGAGAGAATCTCAGGAGTTGAAGATACAATAGAAGAAATAGATACATCAGTCAAAGAAAATGTTAAAGCTAAAAAATTCCTAACACAAAACATCCCGTAACCCTGGGATAGTATGAAAAGATCAAATCTAAAAATAAAAGAAATAAAGGAGAAGATTCCCAGTCCAAAGGCCCAGACAATATTTTTAACAAAATCACAGAAGAAAAACTTTCTAACCTAAAAAAGGACATGCCTATAAAAGTATAAGACGTTTCCAGAATAGATTGGGCCAGAAAAGAAAGATTCTCCTCCCACATAATAATCAAAACACTAAAAACACAGAACAAAGAAGAAATATTAAAAGTGGCGAGGGAAAAAGGCCAAATAACATAAAGGCAGGCCTGTTAAAATTATACCCGGTTTCTCAATGAGACTCTAAAAGCCAGAAGGGTGTGGACAGATGTCTTGTAGACTCTAAGAGACCACAGATGCCAGTTTAGACTACTATACCCAGCAAAACTTTCAATTACCATAGATGGAGTAAACAAAATATTCCATGATAAAGTCAAATCTAAACAATATCCATCCACAAATTCAGTACTACAGAAGGTACTAGGAGGAAAACTTAAACCCAAGAAAGTTAACTACATTTAAGAAAACACAGGAAATACATAATCTGGCACCAGCATAACCCAAAGAAGGAAAATGTGCACACACATATGCATATGTGTGTGTGCGCGCACCCCCCCCCCCCCCCCCCACACCCAACAACATACAGGTACTTATGGGACACAATGAAAACAGTGCTAAGAGAAAAGTTCACAGAAATAAAAGTTCTCATAAAGAATTTTGAGAAGCCTCACACTAGTGACTTAACAGTACACCTCAAAGCTCTAGAAGAAAAAAGAAGCAAACAAACCCAAGATGAGTAACAAGAAATAATCAAACAGAACTGAGATAAATAAAATAGAAACACAGAGAATAATACAAAGATTTAATAAAACAAAAAGTTGGTTTTTAAAGTCAACAAGATAGATAAATCCTTTTTCTAAACTAAAAGGCAGCGAAAGAATATTCCAATTAGTAAAGTAGAAATGAAAGTGGAACATAGCAACAAACACTGGGGAAATCCAGAGAATCATTAGGTCATACTTCAAAAACCTGTCCTCTACAAAATTGGAAAATCTAAAAGAAATAGACAAATTTATTGATAAATAACACATACAAAAGTTAAATCTAGATCAGACAAACAATTTAAATAGACCCACAATCCCCCTGCCCAAAGAAGCTGTCATTAAGTCTCTCAGTCAAAAAAACCAAAAAAACAAAAACAAAACAAACAAACAAAAAAGCCTAGGGTCAGATTGTTTTAGCACAGAATTCTACCATACTTTCAAAGAAGACCTAATGCCAATACTCCTCGAATTATCCCACAAATAGAAACAGAAGGAACAGTGCCAAATTCTTTTCATGAGGCCACAGTCACCCTGATATCCAAACCACACAAAGACTCAACAAAGAAAGAGAATTACAGACTAATTTCCCTCAAGAACATTGATGCAAAATACTCAGTAAAATACTTGGAAATCAAATTCTTGAATACATCAAAAAGATCATCCACCATGATCAAGTAGGCTCCATCCCAGAGTCAGGGATGGACTGACAATGAAAATCTGTCAATGTAATTCACCATATAAACAAACTAAAAAAAAAAAAACAAAACAACAAACCATATGATCATTTCAGTAGATGCTAAAAAAAGTCTTGGACAAAATCCAACATCCCTTCATGATAAAGTCTTAGAGAGAAAGCGAAGACATGGGACATACCTAAACATAAGAAAGGCAAAATATAGCAAGCTGATAGTCAACATCAAATTAGATGGAGAGAAATTCAAAGCAAAATTTTCACCAAAATCAGAAACAAGACAAGGTTGTCCAATTTCTCTGTATCTATTTAATATAGTATTTGAAATTATAGCTAGAACAATAAAACAATTAAAGGAGATCAAGGGGGATAAAAATTGGAAAGGAAGAAGTCAAAGTATCATAATTCTCAGATGATATGATAGTACACATAAGTGGCTGCAAAAATTCTACCATGGAACTCCTACAGCTGATAAACATCTTTAGTGAAGTGGCTGGATACAAGATTACCCCCCCCACCACAAAAATTCAGCAGCCCTCCTATATACAAACGATAAATGGGCTGAGAAAGAAATCACAAAACAACACCCTTCACAACAGTCACAACAATATAAAATATCTTGGGGGTAACTCTAACCAAGCAAGTAAAAGATAAGAACTTCAGCCTGGCAGTGGTGGCGTACACCTTTGATCCCAGCACTCAGGATGCAGAGACAGGTGGATCTCTGTGACTTCAAGGCCAATCTGGTCTACAGAGCTAGTTCCAGGATAGGCCCCAAAGCTACACAGAGAATCCCTGTTTCAAAAAACAAAACAAACAAACAAACAAACAAAGATGAGAACTTCAAGTCTTTGAAGAAAGAAATTCAGAAAAATATCAGAATATGAAAAGATCTATGCTTATGGTTTGGTAAGATTAACATAGTAAAAATGGTCATCTTACCAAAAGCAGTATGTAAATTCAACACAATCCCCATTAAAATTTCAACACGATTGTTTATAGGCCTTGAAAGAACAATACTCAAATTCATACAGATAAACAAAAAATCCAGGATAGCTAAAACAATCCTGTAAAATAAAAGAACGTCGAGAGGTATCACCATTCCTGATTTCAAGCTCTACCAGAGAGTCATAGAAGTAAAAACCACATGGTCTTGGAATAAAAACAGACAGGTGGATGAATGGAATTGAATCAAAGACCCAGACATAAATCCACACACCTATGGACACCTGATTTTTAATAAAGAAGCCAAAATTACACAATGGAAAAAAGAAAGCACCTTCAACAAGTGGTACTGGTATAACTGGATGCCAGCATGTAGGAAAATACAAATAGATTCATATCTATCACCCTGAACAAAACTCAAGTCCAAGTGGATTGAAGATTTCAACATTACTCCATATATACTGAATCTGATAGAAGAGAGAGTAAGAAATGGCCTTGAACACAACACATTGGTAAAGGAGACAAATTCCTGAATAGAACACCAATAGTGTAGGCACTAAGATAGTTAATAAATGGAACCTGATGAAACGAAAAAACTTCCCTAAGGCAAAGGGCAAAGGACTCAAGAAACTAGACATTAAAAAAAAACCAGAACAACCACAAAAAACTCAAACAAATAATCCAATTTAAAAATGGGTACAGATATAAACAGAGTTCTCAATGGCCGAGAAACTGTTTAACATCCATAGCTGTCAAGGAAATGCAACTCTGAGATAACAACTTACACCAGTCAGAATGGCTAAGATCAAAAAACAGAAGTAACAGTTCATGTTGGAGAGGATGTGGAACAAAGTGAACACTCCAACCATTGCTAGTAGGAGCAAACTTTGGAAATCAATATGGTGGTTTCTCAGAAAATTGGGAACTGATCTACTCCAAGACTCAGCTTTACCAATCTTGGGCATATAGCCAAATGATGCTCAATCACACCACAAGGATATTTGCTCAACTGTGTTCATAGCATCTTTATTTATAACAGCCAGAATCTGGAGACAACCTAGATACCCCTTAACTAACAGAATGGATAAAGAAAATGTGGAACATTTACACAATGGATATTAATCAGCAGTAAAAAAACAATGACATCATAAAATTTGCAGGCAAACAGATGGAACTAGAAAAAAATCATCCTGAGTGAAGTAACTCAGACTCAGAAAGACAAACATGGTATGCATTTACCTTAAACTTGAATATTAGCTGCAAAGTAAAGGATAACCAGACCACAATCCCCACACCCAGAGAGGCTAGATAACAAGGAGTGCTCTAGTCAGTATGCACTGGTCTTCCTTGGAAAGGAAATAGAAATTATTTCAAGGGTTAATTGGGGTTCAGTAGGGATAGGAAAAGGAGGAAACAAGTGGGGTGAGGTGTGAGTAAAAAGAGTAGTGGGAAAGACTGAAATTGGGAGGCATTTTGGGGGTAGGGTAGAAAGAAACCTGGTGTAAGGGAAACTCCCAAGAATCTAAAAAGATGACTCTAGCTAAGACTACAAGTAATAGTGGATATGTAGCCTGAACTGGCCATATTCTGTGACCAGACAAGACTTCTAGTAGAGACATTGGGACATCAACCCATAACTTCCAACCTATAGTCTGTCCTGCCTATGGGATGTACTGGGATAAGGGTGACACAGAGATTGTGGGAGGGGCCAACCGAAGACTCTCAGTCTGAGACCCATGTCACAAGAATGAGCCCGCTTTGACATTGTCTGGAATGCCAGGACCCAGAGGCTGAATGACCCAGGGACTTAGGATAGAACCAAACATGACTGGAGGAAAAAGAAAAAAACAAGTGTCAATGAAATAATTCCTAGTGATATTCTGCTAAACTCATAGATTGGTGAGTACCCCAATGGTAATCAGAGAGGCTTCATCAAGCAACTGATGGAAACAGATGCACACACCCACAGCCAAACATGGGGCCGAGCTCAGGGAATCCTGCTGGAGAGAGGAATGATTGTAAAAGCCCAAGGGGTCAAGGACATCACAAGAAAACCCACAGAATCAACTAACCTAGGGCTGATAGGGGCTCACAGCTTCTAAACAACCATGGAGCCTGCATGGGATTGACCTAGGTTTTCTGTGTATATGTGACAGTTTTGTAGCTTGGTCTTCTAATGGGACTTCTAACAGTGGGAGTGGGAGAAGTTACCAACTCTTTTGCTAGCTTTTGGGACCCTACAGTTCATATTGGAATGTCTTGCTTAGCCTTAATAAAAGGGGAGGTGCATACTGCAACTTGATATACCATGATTTGTTGATACCCACGGGACGCCTGCCCTTTTCTAAATAGAAATGGACAAGAAGAAGTTGGGAGTGGAAGAGGGGGACAGAGGGAGGTTGGGGGATGGACTGGGAGGAGAAGAGGGGAAACTGCAGTTGGTATGTAAATAAATAAATAAATTAATAAAAAAATAAATAAATAAAAGGTGAAGGAGCAACAGACGAAAGTACTACTTGAGCTGATCTTTGGTTTTTCACAAATAAGTAGTACAACTATAGGAACAGAGAAGCACACACAAGTGATACACCTATAGGCATAGATGAGCACATCTACACATACATGTACAAATGGAAATTGGAGAAAGGTCTCTGATATTACCAAGTTGGGTATTACCTCTATAAAAAATGACTTCAATTCAGGGAGGTGCTGAAAGAGGTTTAGGGTTGAGATTTCTGTTTTGGTTTGCTTTTGTATGACTTCTTCTGCTGATAATCTTGGAGGGTGTGGTTCCTTCAAAATAATTTTAAGGAAAAATTTCAGAGTTACATGAAATCCTGCTCAACTCAGTGGACTGTGCTACAATAAAATGCATATTAGGCACTGTTAACTGCAGGCCATGGCTTAGCCTATACCTCAGCAAATTTGCCATTCATCCTCTTCTACAGACATCTCATTTCTACTTTAAATTTTTCTTACTGATATCACTCCCACATTTCTAGATCAGAATGATTTTTTTCATATGCTCTTTCATCAATTATTTAAGATTTCTTTGTATCTTTTTTTCTATTAAGTATTCATTGGTTGTTTATGATCAGTCTTTCCATTCAGCCTATAGGAATCTTTCTAAATTCCATTTAATTTATTTTTTGTGTATACGTGGTTATATACATGTCACTGTGCATGTGTGGAGGTCAAAGAACAACTTGCAGGAGTCAATTCTCTTCCTTCTACCATGTTGATATGGGGACTGAGCTCAGGTCATCAGTCTTGGCAGCAGGTGTATCTCAAACTTGACAGATGTTTAATAAATTTTTGGTAAAATTAATGAAGCACTTAACATTCAATCTTTAAGATATAGTATATTATTTAATTCCTAAAAGACTGATAAAAATGTAAAAACTATCAAAATCAAATTATAGACATGACTGCAAAATTCACAGATTATTTTTTTCTACCTTTCAAATTGCAGATACAGAATTAAGTAAATTAATGTTAATCAAGAATACTGATAATATATTAAATACCTTTTTACTATTTCAAGGACACTATTGATATGTATAAGAGTTGTCCTTCTAAAGGGGATTTTGCCAGATATGGCAAAAATATCTGCAAGCAGGTGTATGTTACAGGTGAGAATTCTTACAGGTGAGAATTCTACCAGATATTCACCAATGTTGACTATCCAAGTGCTCAGAAAACTGAGGCAGGAGGAATTTGAATTTGAGTTCAGCTAAAGTTCAAGGCAGTACAGGCTACATAGTAAGAAAGAAAACAGAACAAATCAGGGAGCTGGAGTTTGATTCTTTTACAAAATCTTAGATAGTAGGAAATAGATGTCGCTTAAATGTGTAGCTTTTAATACTTAAAATAATAACAACTTTATTTTAAATTACAGGCTGAGAGTCCTAACTCTGCCTGATTTTTTCTTTTGTGTTTGTGGGGACGGGAACTGATCTTGGACACTGCACATAATAAGCAAACATTCCTGGACTAAAGAACAACCTCAGCCCCTTTTATAATATTTTTAAATCATAATAAAAACTAGTATGAGGGAGGTGGCTTAGTAAAGTACTTGCCTAGAAGCAAACCTGAGGACCTGAGTACAATTTACAGAACCCTGTTTTAAAAAAGGACAGCCAAGGTGGTTAGCCAGCTAGCCTACTTGATAACTTCTAGGCCAGTAAAAGATCAGTGTTTTCACAAAATGCTGGACAGTGCCAGACAAATGACATGCAAGAAATGACACTCTGACCTCCACAGACATGAACAAATAGGGCAATATCAGTACTGTTCTTGTAAAATAATAATAATTTAAAAAGTAGAGTTGAAGTCTGGTGGTGGTAGCACATGTCTTTAATACCAGAACTCAGGAGGCAGAGGCAGGCAGATCTCAGAGGGTTTGAGGTCAGCCTGGTCTACAGAGTGAGCTCCAGGACAGCCAGGGCTACACAGAGAAACCATGTCTAGAAAAACAAAACAAAAGGTAGAGCTGGTGTAAAATTAAAGGTTCTAAGTCAGAGCTTCACCTAGAGGTGACTGTCAGTAGATTTTCTATTTCCTATGAGTCAAAATGTAGGACTCTCAGGTTCAGCACCACATCTACCTGCATGCCAGCATGCTCCCAACCACGATGGACTGAATGAACCTCAAGTGAGCCCCTCAACTACACTTTTTCTTTATAAGAATTGCTGTGGTCATGGTGTCTCCTCCAAGAATAAACCTTAACTAAGACAGTTGAGAACAACTGCTCTAAGATGTTGATAGCTTATACAGTTTACCTTTAACAGCTGACAAGGTGTTTGTCCAAAATTGTTAATCATCCCTTCTAAGGCTTTTCTTTCCTTTTCATCTGTTAAGGCATCAAGATCTACAGCACCTAAAACAAGAAGTAATTACTATGGAGAAAAGCAAACTAGCATGATTCTGATAAATATATTAAGGATTAAGGATTGATTAACATATTTTAAATATAATATCAGTCTTCAACTTCTCACCAGAAAGTAATTTTCTAATAACACTACCTATTTTTTATTTGTGTGTATATGTATATATATATATATGGATACATGTGAGAGATCCTGTTTAAATAAGGGGAAGAGCCAGTGTGGGAGACTACCTGAAATATACCTTCAACCTCCACAAAAAGAGGTTTAAAAAGTGAGAACATTTTCTACTCAAAGCTGTCAGAAAACAGTTTTGATACTAAGCTAATGCTATTAGAAGAATTTATTACTGGAAATGCTAAGCATTTTCTTTCAAAGTTTACTAAAAATATAACCTGCAATATTCAATGTAAGACTTGATTAAATAGGAAATTTGATTTCTCAAATAAGAGACCAAAACCATATGGTGATAACAGGCATCTATAATTAGATTTCCACATATATGTATGGAATATATATGTATATAATATATGCATATATAATTGGATTTTATATGCATGGAATATATAAACACATATATAATCATAAACAACTATTACAAAACTGAAACAGTGGCAGTTTCATAACCTTGCAACTGAGAAGCTATTTTGTTGATGTATTCTTTTTTATGTTAAATATCTAGGCCCAAATGCCATGCATAACTAATAAACCCTAATTCTCCCAAAGTACCACAAAAGAAGTAGTTAGGCTCATACCTTCATAACTACAGTAGTAGAAGACATTGAGTGCTTCTACTGCAGCTGGTCCTCTTTGTTTGTAGCCAAAAATCAGGTCTATCCATTCATGAAGATGAGCAGAAACATATTCAGACTCCTATAGAGAGAACAAATTTAATAATTAACATACGTATCTTCCAACTGTAGCCTAAATTCATGCTTTTGAGAAAGGGCAGGGAGTATCAGGGAGACAGATGATGGTGTATGCCTTTAATCTCAGCACTTAGGAGGCATAGGCAGGCAGATATTTAAGATCAGCCTAGTGTACGAGTTCCAGGACAACTAGAGATACACAGAGAAACCTTGTCTTAGAGGGGGGAAAAAAAGAAACCAAAAACATGGAGCCAGAAAGACGGCTCAGTAGTTAAGAACGCTGGCTGCTCTTCCAGAGAAAGCATTTTCAGTCAACGACTAACAATCAACAATGACTAACATCTGTGGCTCCAGGGTCAGGATATCTGATTCCTTTTTTTGTCCTTGCTGGGCACTGCACACACACAATGTATAGACATATATGTAACCAAAACACTTGAACACATTTTTTTTTTTTTAAAGAAGAGTACTGCTCAGTAAACAGTGCTGTGAGATAGTAACACAATTATCAATGGTAAACTAACTCACAATATTCCTTCAGTTCCAATTTGGAAATTTACCTAAACATTCTTAAGACTTTTTAAGTGGCATTTTGGATCAGCTAGTTTTATTGGAACTTGGGTATCTCAGAAAAAATTAAAAATGTAGACATGCTTAACTGAAATGAAACAAAAACTGCAAAACATTAAATTATTGCAGCTGGGTAAACAGAACAGCAATCCATACAGCAGACACACACAGAACTGGAATGTTAATTACAGCTGAATATCCCTTAGGCAAAATGATTTGGGTTACAAGTTTTTGAGATTTTGCTTGTTGCCATTTGCTTTGATTTGTTTGAGACAAGTTTATACCACGTTGCTCAGGCTGCCCTCAAAGTCATGAACTCAGGTTTCAGCCTCCTAAGAAACTGCGACTAGGCCAAATTCGGATTGTAGATTTTCCCAGATTCTAAAATATTTGCAGAGGATTTATCAGCTAATCAAAAAATCAAAATTCCAAAATGTCCCCAAGTATAGTGTGGGTGAACAAAACAATATAAGAAAGCTACTAACTTTCCTCAAATCGAAGAGAGTTAAATAAGAGGTGCAGAAAGCATTTTTGTGGTAGTTTCTTTTGTAATACTTGTCTAAAACTTGTTGATTCAAGAAAAAAAATCTAAGACTTGATTAAATAGGAGATTTGATTTCCTATATACCAAAAATCAAAAGCTTATGACACTGATAATTGGTATTTATAAGTAGATTTATATAGATTATGTATATATATACCATTATAAACTATTATTAAAAACAGAAAAAGTAGAAACCTATATTTTGGTACATATTAATACAGTATCACAACATTTATATCCTAAGATTAAATTACTATATTATACTTTTAGAACAGTAATATATATAAAACAGATAACAAATTAATCTAGAAAAAAGGACACTTTAATTTATCTTTGAAAAACACATCTATATTTTTAGACTTGGTAGTGAGAGAACAAAAACCTTACCAGAGCTTTTCTGTGTTTATAAATAAAATCTTCAGCTGACTTAGCCCATCTTGGAAGAATGACATCATTTACCAGTTCTTGAGAAACTTGTAGCTGACCCAGATTAAATTCTAATACACAAAAAATAAAAATACCAGAATCATTTCAGACTTAATCAAGTGATGTAAAACAAATACAAAAGAGGGTCTATAACTAGAAAAATACTTTAACCTATCTTTTGCAGTATACTTTACTCATTAATTAAACTACATAAAGTATTTTAAAACTCATTTTTAGAAGGTACATCTAAGTAAGAATTCTTTTAGAACTTGGGAGACACTCAGTGGGTAAATTTCAGTGACTTAATGAGTATCTCATGATAATGACTACAGAGCTGGGTGTGGAGATAAGAATCCTATGGGTTTACTGAGAAGTCCAGCCAGTTTGTCTCAAAAAGTTAAGGTGGAATGGGATTAAGGACATTGACTTCTGGCTTCTGCATATAAATGCATACACATACACACACACACACACACACACACACACACACACACACAGAGTCCTCCACATGTAAGCACATGGGCATGGGAACAGACACACATACATACAAATGAAAAAGAAAAAGAACAGTAAAGGCACTATAATCCTCACTTTAATTGGCTTAAAATAGAATATTAATAATTCTTACACTAAAAATGAAAAATGGTTTATAAAATATGGTTCTTTAAAACTTTGGTGTAACTTATACCTTAAACTCACTCACTAAGAGTTTTGTTTTATAGAAGAAGAATAACACCTTATATCCTCTATTCCACAAAGATACTTGCTATTAGAGCTGAACATGACATTGACAGAACTTTCTCAAGTATGAGCTTTTCTTGTTCACATACTGTGAGAAAGAAAATGTTAATACAAAAGACCTTAAAAAAACGGTTTAAAATGCTAGTCTTCCAATAACAATGTGTTGCCTTGAAATATTACATTTCCCAAGTCTAGGTAAGATTTAAAGTTAAGAAAAGGAAAGTTTTTCCCAAGGAAGAGTTGGCCAGTGACCCTCAAGAGGTGGCTACTAGCAGCTTAAGTCTTCCCAAGAGGAAGAAATCCTCACCGAAGGAGTAAATGGTCAGTGATCTAGAAGAGGCAGCAAGCCCCAGCGTCCCCAAGGAGAAAAGAAAATTTTCTTCTGAGGAAACTGAAGCTGCTGCTAGCGCCACAAAGAGTACAAAGAAAAAAGAAAAAGTTTCAGAAAACATTCCAAGAGGATTAAAATGGACATGCTTGGTGGGAGGGGCATAACTTGAAGGTGACAGTTCCTACCCACAATTAACTCCAATAAAAACACACAGGAAAAAAAAAAAAAGAAAAGAAAAAGTATGGCAGGGAGCGCAGAGTGCTAGGGTTTCTGGTTAGTGACCACTGCACAGCAGCCACAGTCCTTTGTCCACTTCACAGTCATTTTCCTTTGAATTTACTTGCAGAACTTTCATTTCATCTGCCCTAAATGTGATACCTACTCCATGTGATTACTTTAGAGGGTGGTATATGACACAGTTCTAGAGAATGATGTCATAGGGGTTATACTGAAGAGTGTAAGACGCTGTTGTTTCTACCTACTATGCATAAGCTACTTCAGTTATTTGTTACAATTAGAAGAACTAGCCACGAACAAAGGCAAAATATTCAGTATAACAGAGTGAAAATACCGGAAGAAGTTTGCCCAAGGTGATACTATAAACCTGAAATTAAATCTTCTCTAACTTTTTTATTACAGAAAACACTGAAATTTCATTGTGCAATTTTGTATTGGTTTTATTGCTAGTTATTCCTAGCTATTTATTACCATTAGATTATATATTTGTTTTCTCCTGCTCAGGTTCCTATCAAGCAATTACATAATTACAGTTACACAGTACTACAAGGTTATACAGCTGAGAGCAGCAATTTGGTCCAATAAATATCATGAATTGTTGAGCAAAGAGTACCTGAAGTTTTTCATTCAAATTCACCCCAATTACTCTTCTTATCCCAGATACCCACTGGCTTTATTAAATTCCAGTCTAAGAGCTAACTAATAATCTACATAAAATATACCTCCAAATCATGCAAACTCATTTGTGCTTTAAAAACAAATGTAAGGTTAGGGAAACAGTTTGGTTGTGGAGTGTGTGCCAACCAAGATTGCAAGATTTTGTGTTCAATCTCCAGTACCTTACACACACAAAAGTAATAAAAGCCAAATGGTGGTGGTGCACGTCTTTAGTCCCAGGACTTGAATATCTGTGAGTTCGAGGCCAGACTGGTCTACAGAGCAAGGTCCAAATGCCCTCAAAAAACAAACAAAAAAAGTTGTAGTAATCAAGTAAAATAACAGTACAGAAAAAAATTCTTGGATATTTGAAAATTTTAATTATCATTATGCATTTCTAGTCCAAAAACCCAATTTTCAAAAAGTGCAACAACAGAGTGGGTCTGAGAGAGCAATTTCTAAAAGAGCAGGAATAAGCCAGCGACCTGGGCCAGAGGAGACCTACAGTGAACTCCTGGAGAGCAGGAGCAGATCCAGACCAGGGTCATTTGCGGGGCAGGCCTGGCACAGCGATCTAGGCCAGAGCAGGTCTGAAGCGGTGAGCTCCATGGGAGCAAGACTGAACCACCTACCCAGGCCTGAGAAAGTGAGTGGGAGTGGATCCAGACCAGCGACATTTGTGGAGGCAGGGCTGATCCAGCGACCTGGGCCAGAGCAAACCTGAAACAGTGAACTCCACAGGAGCAGGTGAGTGAGTGAGTGAGTGGGCCAGAGACAGAGACCTATGTGGGTCTGGTCGTGAGTGTGGGACCTTCAAGGGAGAAGACCTAAGGAGAACCCCTGTGGGTCTGGGAATGAGTCTAGGACCTCTGAGGAACTAGGCCTGAGCCAGGTTCAGGCATCGGTCTGGGACGTCAAAGGGAGTAGGCAGAACTAGAAATCTGGGACATCTGAGGGAGTAGGCCTGAGCCAGATACTCCACGGGTCTGGTCAGGGACCTCCGAGAGAGTAAATCAGAACCAGACACCTTTGTAGGACCAACCCCAAGCCAGGGATGTCTGCAGGAATGGATCCAGACCAGAGACATTTACAGAAACAAGTCTGAGCAGACAACCTAGGCAAGAGCAGGCCTGAGACAGCAAACTACAAGGGAGCAGAGCAAAGCCCTGGAGTGCTGAGCAACCTCGAGGAACACTGGGAGTGATCAACGGGATAACCAGAATTGTGGCACTGACTATACCACAAGGAACAACCATCTGAGCCTTGGATTCACTGGCACCTAGAAGACTAATCGACAGAATCACAGACAGTCCCAACCACAATTATCAGAGGAAAAAATGTGTAGAAAAGGAAAGAACACACGCAATACCATAAAGAGCAACATGACACCAGTAAAACCTAAAGACACAAAAACAGCAAGACTTAATAACCAAATACAGATAACTTCAGGAGAATAAAAATGAAAGCAGTGATAAGACAAAAGTTCATAGCACTAAATGCCTACATAGAAAAGCTGGAAAAATCCCACACTAGTGAATTAACAGAACATTTGAAAACTTTAGAATTAACAGAAGTAAACTCACCCAAGAGAACTAGACGACAGGAAATAATCAAATTGAGAGCTGAAATCACCAAAATAGAAACAAAGAAAACAACACAAAGAATCAATGAGCTAAAAAGTTGATTCTTTGAGAAAAATCAACAAAATAGACAAACATTTATCCAAACTAACCAAAAGGCAGAGAGAGAATATCCAAATTAACATACTCAGAAATGGAAAGGGGACATAAAAACAGACACGGAGGAAACAGAATCATCGGGTCATATTTCAAAAACCTGTACTCCACAAAATTGGAAAACTTAAAGGAAATAGACAACTTTCTGTCTGGATAAAATCACTTACCATAATTAAATCAAGACCAGATAAGCAAACTAAACAAAATTATAACAGCTGAAAAAATAGAAACAGTCATCAAAAGTCTCCCAACCAAAAAAAGCTCAGTACCAGATGGTTTCAGTTCAGAATTCTACAAGATTCTCAAAGAACTAAAACCAATATTCCTCAAATTTTTCCACAAAACAGAAACAGAAGGAACATTGCCAAACTCTTTTTATGAGGCTATAATTACCCTGATATCCAAGCCACATAAAGACATGATTAAAAAAGAGAATTACAGGCCAATCTCACTCATGAGCATTGATGCAGAAATACTAAATAAAATACTGGTGAATCAAATCCAAGAACACATCAGAAGCATCATCCACCATTATCAAGTCGGCTTCATTCCAGAGATGCAGGGATGGTTCAGCAAAAAAAATTTATAAATGTAATCCACCATTTTGAGATTTCAGAGAGTTGTCCACTCTCTCCATATCTGTTCAATATAGTTCTTGAGGTCCTAGCTAGAGCAATAAGACACCAAAAGGAGATCAAGGAGAAACAAATCAGAAAAGAAGTCAAACTCTCACTATTTGCTGACGATATGATAGCTTACATAAGTGACCCCAAAATTCTATCAAGGAACTTTTACAACCCATAAACACTTTCAGTAATGTTGCAGGATACACACAGATGATAAATTGGCTGAGAAAGAAGTCAGTGAAACATCACCTTTCACAATAGCCATAATAGCTTAAAGTTATCTCAGAGTAACTCTAATCAAACAAGTAGAAGACCTGTATGACAAAAACTTTAAATCTTTGAAGAAAAAGAATTGAAGATACCAAAAAGTGGAAAGATGTCCTATGCTCTTGGGTAGGTAGAATTAACATAGTAAAAATGGCAATCTTACCAAAAACAATCTACAGATTCAATGCAATGCCCATCAAAATTCCCAGCAAAACTCTTCACAGACCTTGCAAGAATGGTACTCAACTTTATACGGAAAAGCAAAAAAACAAGGATAGCCTAAAACAGTCCTGTACAATAAAGGAACTTCTGGAGACATCACAGTCCCTGACTTCAAACTACTACAGAGCTACAGTACTGAAAGCAGCCTGGGATTGGCATAAGAACAGACAGAAGGACAAATGGAACCAAAAAGAAGACCCGGATATTAATCCACACACCTTTGAGCACCTGATTTTTGACTTGAACGTATTGGCACAGGAAACCACTTCCTAAATATAACCCCAGTAGAACATATAATGAGAGAAACAATAAATGTGACCTCCTGAAACTGAAAAGCTTCTGTAAAGCAAAGGACAGGGTCAACAAGACAAAAACGACAGCCTACAGAATGAGAAAAGATCTTCACTAACCCCACATTAGACAGAGGTCTGATGTCCAAAATATATAGAGAACTCAAGAAATTGGTCATCAAAAGAACAAATAATCCAATAAAAAAGTGGAGTCCTCCCTGTTCCTTGAGGCCAAAACTCAGGATGCAAGTAATGTTTACGCTAACCAGCTAAGCTTCCTGCTAAGTTCGTGCTTTGCTTGCTTCTGCTACAGCCTGGTACAATAGCCTGAGGGGTCTATTTTACTTTAAAATGGTAATTTCTCAACCTGCCTGAAAGAAGCTCAGGCGCCAAGGCCCATCTACCCTGTTTGACACTGCCTTGCACCCTCGACCACCTGCCTGGGGAGAAGCTCTCGCAGGCGCCAGTTTCCACAGTCCCTCTGGGTGGGAGGAGTTTTTCTTTACTGGGGCCAAAAGTATTTAACCCTGGATTAAGTTGAATAAATTGGGCATTTTCTTCTTGAGGATGACTCGAACTCTGCGTCTTGTATTTTAACCCCTAGGACAATATGGAACTCGTGGGAGGTGGGTGGCGTGGAACGGTGACCCCCACACAGACCTAAACAGACAACTCTGAACAGAGGAATCTAAAATGGCTGAAAGAAACTTAGTCATCAAAAAAAAAGAGCAAATCTAAACAACTCTGAGAGTCCATCTTACAACTGAAAGAATGACCAAGATAAAAAACACTGAGGACAACTTATGCTGGAGAGGTTGTGGGGAAAAGGGAACACTTCTGCATTGCTTGTGGGAACGCAAGCTGGTACAACCCCTTTGGATGTCAGTGTGGCAATGTCTCAGAAAATTAGGAAAAAATCTTCCGCAAGACCCAGTAATACCACTTTTGGGTATATACCCAAAGGATGCTCAATCGTGCCACAAGGACATGTGCTCAACTATGTTCATAGCAGCATTGTTTGTCATAGCCAGAACCTAGAAACAACTGAAATGCCCCTCAACCAAAGAATGGATAAGGAAAATGTGGTACATTTACTCAATGGAGTACTACAAAACAGAAAAAAAATAACATCTTGAAATTTGCAGGCAAATGCATGGATCTACAAAACATCATTTTCAGTGAGGTAATCCAGACACAGAAAGAAAGTTATCACATGTACTCAGTCATAGATGATTTTTAAACATAAAACAAAGAAAACCAGGCCAGAGATCACAATCCCAGAGAACCTAGAGTACAATGAGGACCGTAAGAAAGACATACTTAGATATAATCTAAATAAGAAGTAGAAAAAGACAAGATCTCCTGAGTCAATTGGGAACATGGGGACCTTGGAAGAGGGTAGAGGGGAGGGGAGAGGCAGGGAGGAGAGCAGAGAAAAATGTAGAGCTCAATAAAAATTAATAATAAAAAGTGCAACAACATAGCCATTATTTCAAATGTGTACCTTTCGTACATTACAAATAAGGAGTCAGCAGAAGTCTTTAAAAGGTAAAATAATACTTAAATCTTTGTGAATTACTAGGTCTCTTGAAACTACTTATGCTGGTCATTAATTTCTGAGAGCAGTTATAGTTAGAAAAAGCATAAATAAACTGGTAAATAAGTTGCAATGATACTTTAAAAATATGAGTTTATTCATGCGTTTGTCTTTATTTACCTCAAAGACTTACAATGGCAGTGTAAAGCAGTTCATGTCTCTAGTAAAGATTGTACTCTGAGGTAAGCTCTCTTAGAAGTTCAAATTTGACTCATATCTTAGTTTCTTGTATCACTTCCTTGAAAAGTAAGACTTGGTTCTATATGTCATTTCTCTGGTGTCAGTTAAATCCTGTCATTCATTTACACATAGAACAAAACTTAAATAAAGCATACAGTACTACAGAAGATGCCCTCAAATTTTTTTTTTCAGGATTTTTCATTGGGACCTGTAGAATAAAATTTTAAATCCTCTATTTCTTACCATTTTGATTTTCTAAAAACTCAGGGAAATAGAAGAATTCAGGAATAAGTTCTTTTACATCATATGTATTATCCATAAGAGCTTGCCAGGTAGCAGGGATGGAATGGAACTGCCGGTCTGCACAGTCAAATCTGCACGTGAGATTGAAAGACAACAGTCTACTAAATGAAAACAAGGAAGCATAGAACGAAAAACCTTTAAGCTCCCTTCAAACTTACATGTGAGTACAGCTGATCTTTATCTTCCTCTTTAATACCCGAAAACAACTTTTCATCATCTTTATGATAATGATACTATATATCTTTGTATTGTTAGACACCTATCTATTTTTTTTACAGAAATCGCTATTCAGACCCTTTTCCATTTTTAAATTCAGTGTATTTGGTTGTAAGGGCTCTCTATATATTCTAAATACAAGTCCCTTATTGAGTTTTCTTGTATGTACTTTATAAAGCACAAACAGAAGTAATTTTAAAGCTCTGTCAAACCACATTTCTTCATAAAATTATAAAGAACCAACATAAACCTAATCATAATTTCCTGTATCTTATGAATTTTTACCTGTCAGTACAACATTTTACTGATGCTTAATAATCTTGAAGACAGAGACTCTTGTTGAAAATCAAAGTTTATTGTAATTAAGATATGATAGAGAATTCAGGCTAACTATAGATGTTATATGCAATGATAATAAAATAGGCAGAATTTGCATAATGTTGACTGAGTAGAGAAAACAAAATGGTAATGCAAATGGTAACTAAGGCAAAACAGAAACAAAATGCATACAAGAAAGGTATCTGGAGAATACAGACTGACAGTAAAAGATTTATGTAGTTTCCCTAGAATAACTAGGAACATGTGAAATATAGGCAAGTTACAATACCCACAGATAATGTTATTACTGCATTATCACAGGTGTGTTTAAGTGGCTGCTATGAATCCCCAACTGCTTCCTCTATTTAGTCTTCACAAATATTGTATAGTCACTACTGCTGAGAACTGACTATCTGTGGATGGCTCAAATTTAGTTCTAAATCACCTTAATTCAATAACTTGAAGAGGGAGTTGTTACTTGGAACCTGTACCCAGGACCTGTACATGCTAGACAAATTCTCAGCCACTGGACAACAACCTTGGTCTGATATCTAATTATAAATCTCTGGTTGACTTCTCAAATTTGAAAAGATTCCAAATGTATACTACAATAAAGTGAAAAAAATCATATTCAAATGTCTTATATATGAACCAATTGGAATGACTTGTTCAACTACTTTGACTGATTTTATCTAAAATAAAACCCAGTAGAGGATTTAAAAGCCATAAATCTATCATTCAGAAAATGACATCAAGATGAATAGTTTTCAAATTTATAGTCAAGAGAAAAAATAGGTTTTTACTCTAAGCATACCTTCCACTCTGAAGCTGGATGTGGAGGGTAGTAAATGGTTCTACACGAATAAGATAGTGCATGACACCTGCAGAATTTGAATAGTGAGTACCATAATGAAACTTATCAATCGTTCCCATTGGATCCTCAAAAGTTTCATACCTAAAAAAAGGCGGAGTTTTATGACTTTAACAACAAAATGATAAGAGTCTAAATCTATACTAGTTTGCTTAAAGCATAGTATTCTTTAAAAAGTCAATTCTTAGTCATATACTTTACTACCAAATTAAGTATTTGCATCCCCACATATAACAACAGGAAAAAATTAATTTTAAGAATGTTTCCTAAACAATGAAGTATCACTAAAACAAGCTTTTAGAACATTTAAAATAATTTTATTTAAGTGTATAAATGTTTTGCCTGCATGTGAATATGCACAAAGATAACTGAAAAAAATTTAAGTAGCTTTGATAAAAGGTAACTTTGATATGGATAAATGGTCCAGTGGTTTAATAGCATATGATGCCCTTTCCAGAGGACCTGGGTTTGGTTCCCAGTACTCATGTGGTGACTCATAAACCTCTGTGATCCCAATTCTAGAATTTCTGATGTCCTTTCTTCTGGCCTCTGTAGGTACCATGCATACATGCAGAAAAAACAACCACACACATTAAAAACAATTTTTTTTTCCCAAACACGTAGGGACTGAAGAGATAGCTTAACAATTAAGAGCACTAGCTACTCTACAAGAAGACATGGGATCAATTCCCAGCACCCACAGAGCAGCTCACAGGCACCCGTAACTCCATTTCCAGATTCAACACCTTCTTCTGACCTCTGTAGGCACATGTGTGATGTTCACAATATATGCAACAAACCCAATCATACTCATAAGATAATAATAAAAAAGAAATCTTTTAATTTAAAAAGGGTAATGCTTAGTTGTTTTGATTGAAATGAGCACAAATTCAAACAATAGCTATCTCAAAAGATTTAAAAAGCACTTACTTTTCTTGCATAGCTTTCACATTTTTTTCATTAACCACTCCAATTGGTTTAGAAAGATCTCGAAATACAGTGGGGTTATTAAGGTCCAACTCTTCTGAAGTATAATCTTGTAAGATCCAGGGAAACTAAGAGACATAATTCAAAATTTAGAGAGTTCTTCCTATAGAACATAACATTCCCACATCAAATATAAAATGTTCATAAAGATAAAAATGGGTAATCACTAAAATGTTTTTCCTATTAAAAATCTTTTAAAGACATATTTTAATATTTGCTTATTTCAGTTCAATAGTGTAATTTCCTATAATTCTTCTGGGCTATTTTTAATACAATGAAACAAATAGGACCTTAGTTTTTAATTACTAGTCTTCATGTTTATAATACTTTAAAAATATGAATTGGGACTAAAGAGATGGCTCAGTGGTTAAGAGCACAGAGTGCTCTTCCAGAACACCTGGACTCAATTCCCAGCACTCACATAGAAGAAAAAGTAATATGGGGGTGGAAAACATAAAGGCAGGGTAGGTGTACTATACGTGAGGGTTTCTTTTATAATGCTGGAGATTGAACCCAGAATTTTACATATGGTACAAGAATATTCTATCACTGAGCTATACCAAAGCCTCTCCATTTTTTCTAAATAAAAAGCATAAATATCAAATATAGTATTGTATATTATAAAAGTATAGGTTAATTTTAGAAATTTATACAAACTTACTACAGGATACTGTGCAAGGTCATTATAGGTTCGTCCTGCCATTGTGTTTATTTGAATGAGGTAGTCAAAGTTTGTTATCTCTCGATTCACCCATTTCTGAACAGTACAAAAAAGAACAATAACAGAATTATATCATGTAACCTCTTAGAATGTGACAATTATTAATAACCAACATATTTTTTGTAATCATTATCTATCTTCATAATTGATGAGATGGAGCTAAAGAAGTTTAACATGAAGGTAATCAACTTCTCCATAATTTATTTCCTTTGAAAATTAGTCTCTAAGAAAAAGAGCAAAAAAAATAAACAAAAGCATTATATCATACTCTGGAAAGTCTTAAATAAGAATTAAGTCTTGCCAGGTTTTGCCAGGTGTCATAGTGCATATGCTTAATTCTAGTTACTCAGGAGCATAATTTAGGAGGATGGCAGGTTGGAGAATACCCTGGTTAATATACCAACCCATTTAAAACAAAAGCCTAGGGACATAGGTTGGTGTAGAGCACTTTAGCAAAACACTCTGGGTTTAGTCTCATGTTACACAAAGGGGAAAGAAGAAAAATTATGTCTTCTTCAACTAAATATTTTATTTATCTTAAAACTTTAACTTCTAAAAAGACTGCCCACCCCACTTTTGACATTTTTATAACTATGCATACTATAAGGAAGTACTTTAACATTCTATGTGCTAAGCTAAGGTTACTGGATTTTAGAATGATTAACTATCTGAAGAAGAAAAAACACCTTTACAGAGTAAAATGAGGTGGGACTAGATAGGATAAAACCATTCCTTTCTATTAATCACCTTAATCATTTAGTTTTCTAATGTGCATACACAGTGGAGTTATACATCATAGTTTTCCTGATAGAGTATCAATCAACGTTAACCCACTGTGGACCAAAAGCAAAAGTTTATAATTATGGTGAATAGTGAAAAATGAAATTTGTATGCTGTAATCTATAAAGTGAAATTCATATATTGCGATATATTTCTATATACAGGAAGCTCAATTGTTCTTAGGTGTAAAGTTGAAAAATAAATAGTTAATGAATAAAGTTTATTCAAAAGCAAAATGAACTGTACCTTATTAAACAAGGCTTATTTCAGACAACATTTTCTTGGTTAGGGAACTTCACAGAAGAGCCTGGCATGCATGGGGCCCTGTTTTCAATCCCCCCCCATCTCTCTCTCTCTCTCTCTCTCTCTCTCTCTCTCTCTCTCTCTCTCTCACACACACACACACACACACACACACACACACAAATGGAAGAACAAAGACCAGGAGTGATGGATCACACCTTTAATCCCAGTACTTAGGAGACAGAGTGTCAACCTCTGTGTATCTGAGGTCAGACTTAATCTACATAGTGAGTTCCAGGTCAGCCAGGGCTAGACAGACCTTGTATCCACAAAATCAAAACTTACTAACCAACCAACCAACCAACCAACCAACCAACCAACCAACCAAATGAATGAATAAATGAATGAATGAATGAATCAATAAATGGTCTTGAGCAGTTAGAAAACAGTATAAAATTCCGAGATAGAAAACGAATAATAACAACAACCTATAAATTTTCCTACCTGTGTCAATCCTGATGCTTTGAACAATTCTTGTGGTGATCTTGCTCCATAACTATTAGGAGAATGAAGTGACAACAGTCTGCTATATACTTTGTTTCTAACCTACAAAAAATACTACTGTTTAGTTTAAAAAATTGTCAAGACAAATATGGATTAAGGGTTTTGTAATAGCTTTAGCAAGACATAACCAATCCTTTAAGAATAATAGTATTTTCTTCTTGCTTCATAGTTGTGCCATTATCATTTTTTTTTAACTTCAGAGAATCTTCACCACTCCACAACTTGTTAGCAGTTATCTCTAATTCTGCTTACTCCCTATTTTCTTGAAAATCCTAATCCACTACCAGTTTTATAACTTCAACTCTTCTGGACATTTCATATCAACAGTGAATTATGCTTTTAATTTCTTTACTATACTTGATGCTGTGGTTTAAATATGTTCTTTTAAAGTTTATGATTTAGAAACTGATCCTCAAACAACAGGTTCATAATTGGAGATGGAGTATTTGGAGATTTCAATCTTAAATGAGGTCTTGGAGACAATAAAATGGCAGATGAAGGTGCCTACCAGGAATTCTGATTGTTTGACTTTGATCCTTAGGAACCACATTGTGGAATGAAAGAACTAACTCTTATTACATTGTCCTGTGGTTTCTAAAGGCACACTACAACTTCCACATATATAGTTTAAAAAAATGGTGTCACGAGGCTGAAACATCATATTTACATAGTGTCCTCTTGAGAAGAGAACAGGAAACTCAAGTACACTATGCACAGATTTTCTAAGCTTATAACATAATCAGATGTCTGGCATTTACTGGTTGATATTCAATGTTCTACTATACATACATACTCACTTAAAACAACCACAATTCTCCCCAAAATACCAATAAAGGTTCATATACTGACTAGTCTCAGAATACATTTTCTCCTTTAATATTTTCTATTGATAGGAATACAGTCCAAATTAGAGTTCAATAGCTGGAAGTTATTCCAAAATAATACTCTATGATTATCAGAAAGGTACCATACCTCTTTTTTGAAATTGAGAAAGTAGTTAGATTGATCAATATGAAATATCTCAAGTGCTGATCTCCTTAAGTTGTAACGACGTAAGTGAATCTCTCGAATTTGAGAATGAGGCCACTTAAAATCAAAGCCTATTCCTGAAAATAGAAGAAATCTTGTGACTGAGGTGCAAAAACATCTCATTTCCAAAAGTAGTACTTAGGGGAAAGAAATACCACATTGTAGGAAACAAGTACTTATTAGGAGTTATAAATTGTTTCTTTTAAACTACTCTAAAACCCCAAATCTATTCTACTACCTTTCTATAAGAATAGATGATACATTTGAATATTCATACTTTAGAAATCTTTCTCTTCCTATGATGGTGGATCTTCAGACTTAATCATAAAAAAGTAAGCACTTACAGGACGGTGCATAACATACAAAGGTGTGATAAAATTAAGACTGCATTTTGTAACCATAAGTTTATTGTGATACCCTCAAGCCAAACCTCTTAAAATACACTAATAAGGATGGCAATGACAAAAAGCAATTGGTTGTGGGTATGCATACCTATAATCCTAGCCACTCAGAAGGCTGAGGCAAGAAGATTTTAAGTGTAAGACCAGCCTGGGTAACATTTGTCTTGTGTAAGAATACGGCCCTGAGGAAACCCTGACTGCTCTTAGGACTGGAGAGGGAGGAGAAGGGGGAGTGGGGCGAGTGGGAGGGTATTGGGAGGAGGGGCGGAAGTGGAAACTTTTATAAATAAATAAATAATTTTTTAAAAAAAGAACACAGCCCTGGTTTCCGAATCTCTTGAGTTCAAGGCCAGTCTGATCTACAGAGAGTTCCAGAACAGTCAGGGCTATACAGAGAGACCCTGTCTCAAACAAGCAAGCAAACAAACAAAATCCAAAAATCAAAAAAAAAAAATGGCCTTGGTTTCAATCACTAATACTGTGTGTGTATGTGTCTACATATACAAATTATCAATCCCCTTCAATACATAATAGTTGGATGAACCAAATTCATTATTGGCTTTCCATTTTTAATTTTAAAAGAAAAATCAGAATTTTACAATCTCATCTTGCTTGTTTCTCCCTCTAATTCATAACTGATGAAACTGAATACTTAATAACTGAAGGTATTTTCCCAAAACTACTCACCATCTTCTTTTTCAATACTGTTATCATGGAAGTAAATGTGTTGAGTAGTGATTTCTAATCTGCCAGGAACTATGTTGATTATTGTAATGAGTTCACAGTCTTCAGTCAACACCAATTTTTCCTTTTGATCCTGTTCTTCCTTCTCATCACTGTCAAAAAACAGTTTAAAAGAGGCAATCATTGCCAGGCAGTGGTGGCACACGCCTTTAATCCCAGCACTCAGGAGGCAGAGGCAGGCAGATCACTGTGAGTTTAAGGCCAGCCTGGTTTACCATAGCTAGTTCCAGGACAGGCTCCGAGCCTGTCTCAAAAAACAAAACAAAACCAAAAAACCAAAACAATAAAGAAGAAATCATCAATTTAGTTCACTTATGTAGAAAAGAATATCTTCTTTTACTGCTGATAGTGAATGTTTATGCTGTCTTTTTGAAATTCCTTTTCAGTCCAACTAGAAGCTTATGTTTTTGTAATATGTTTATTTTGTAATGAAGTTTTGTTTCAATAATTATTCAGCTTTTTCATGTTGCTTGACTGAATTTCTTCTTATATCTTTGTTTTTTTTTGTTTTTATATTTTAAGCAGATAATTTTCTTTCAGATCCTAGATCAAACCTAGGCTTTGTGGTATGCATACTAGGTGAGTCCACTACTGCTGTGTTTTACACCCAGATTCTGTTGCACATTTCCACATCAACACAGCTTAAGGCAGACAACATTCGATATAATGTTTTCATTCAAAAAATACTTTATAATTTCAAGATACAGATTCCAACAAACTCAGGTGAAAAGCCTTCCTTAATAATTCCAGTAAATATTCACAGGTTCTTAAAGACAGCTTGTTATTAATAACTGCACTTTGGAAAAACAAATTCAAGCAAATCCACAATTTTACAATCCCATTTCTCATATACAATTTAAATGCTTTCGAATACTCATACATACATATTTACTCTGGCTACCATGTCCTCTTCCAGAAGTTCTAGTTTATCTTCCTCCATATCACTAAGTTTAACTTGTTTCACTACTTCCAAAAGTAAAGAGTCACTAGAAGGCTGCAAGTGTTGGACACCTGCTTAAGCAAAAAGATTCAGTTAAAAATTGCACAAAGATTTACAGCACTTCTATATTTTCTGAACAGTTATGAGGCTTGATTATTAAAATATATGCTTTAAAATTATAGTCATTTTAACAATAGCTAATTCTTGACTCAGAAATAGGCTAAGTAATGGATTAGCAGTCTGAGGTAGAAAGCTGACTTTATGCAAATTATGAATCCATAAATAATAATTATACTCAATTAAAAAGCATGCTAGTAGGAAAATAGTCTCAATGTGTTGATATACGATTGTGCACTTGTACTAAATAGCAAGTGTGAGCTGGTCTACGCAGAGCAGCACATGCCCTTTAACCCTAGCACTTGGAGGCAGAGGCAGGTGGATCTCTATTAGAGGCCAGCCTAGCCTACATAGCTAGTTCTAGGACAGTCAGGGCTACACCAAGGCTCTCCCTCAAAAAACAAAAACAAAAACAAAAACCAAAACCAAAAAACCCCCCCAAATCTGTATGATCGGTTAGTTGTCTATAGCTGACAGGTAATCAATAGATGAATCATTATTTTCTGGAGTACATGGAAAATAACACACATACAGTATTTTATATTGTATAAACTAAAGACTTTGTAATAAAAAAGGGCTTTGTAATAGAAAAGAACATGGACTCTGAGTTGGTACACCAGATTTAAATTCTGTCCTATCTCTGTTCTCTCTGAATATGTGCTTTCCACTTTTTAAAAATGTTATGACGGTCCAGGCGGCGGTGGTGCACGCCTTTAATCCCAGCACTCGGGGCTGGGGCGGGGGGGCAGAGGCAGGCGGATCTCTGTGAGTTCCAGACCAGCCTGTCTTCAAGAGCTAGTTCCAGGATAGGTTCCAAAGCTAGAGAAACCCTGTCTCGAAAAACAAAAAACAAAAACAAAAAAACAAAAACTGTTATGACTTACATGGGATTTCATAAAACTAAAAAGCCTCTGCACAGTTAAAAAAAAAACAACAAAAAACAAACCCCAACAAGTGAAGAGGATCTTAACCAATTACACATCTAACAGAAGATTAATATCCACAATATAAAAAGAATCTAGAAAGGAGCCTAAACAACACACACACACTCACCCTACTAAAAAAATGGGCCGAGGACTAAAATAGAGAGATTTTAAGAAAAAAATAGCTAAGAGATATCCAAAAAATGTTTACTGTCCCTAGCAACTACGGAAATATTATGAAAACAACTTCAAAATTTCATTTCCCAGCCAGAATGGCAAAAATCAACCAATGGACAACAGACAACAGATGCTGGAAGGGATGTGGAGAAAAGAGAACCCTCATTCACTGTTGGTCAGGGAACATCTAGGAACAGAGGGTTGAAAAACTGTAAGAGCCATGGTTTGCCAGGGGAGTGTAGCTACTAAGAACATCAGAAGATACACCCACAGGAGGTCTAACCAACAGACTGCCCAAATGTGACACAAGGACTACAATAGCCATGCCATATAGATTTGGGGGGAAAGTGGGGAGACAAGATGCCAGGCCTCAACTGTGATGAAAAAAGTTGAAAGGAGAGCAGTTTCCCTGAATTTAAGACAACAGAAATAAAGAGAAAAGACTATAAACTTAGACCCATAATCACGTGCAGAGGTATGAGAAGGAAAAGGAAAAGGAGTGTGAATTTCCTAAAGAAGGATTTAGTGCAATTTACAACTACCAAATTGAAGTAATTCACTGAAAAAAAAAAAAAACAAAAACACAAGTCTTCTAGGTGATGAGGAGAGTTAAATTTTGACATATTCAAGTTCCAGAATATTGACAAAGCAGAGCAGCTTATACAAATGCGTGCTGTTATATAAAATGCATTCAATTAATGTCTGTATCATGGAGAAAATATTATTTTGTATTAAGGGGAAAAATTCCAATATCTGATTTACTTTAGAATACAGAATCCTAAATGATAGGCATTATGGCTTTCTTCAGTTTTGTAGGATATCAATGTTAAATGGGAAAAAAAATCGAAAAGTTGATACTGATTTCATCTATAAACCTTTCATGAGACATAACTGGCATAGAAGCAGCTACACTGACAATAACTATTACTTGGTAAACATGTAGGTGCCACAAACTCATCACAAGAAATACTTCATATTTCACCAACTTAGATTTAGGTAAAATTAACAACATTGAATACATACAGTTTCAATAACAACATTGAATACATACATACATTGAATACATACTATATCCCTTCCTTCTTAAGTCAACATCTAAAATAACAAACAATAAGCATTCCATCAACATCTTCACTTTATTAAAATAGGTAAATACTGTAACTCACCTAAATTATCTCTTAAGGCACTGGCATCCTCATGGGTATTGAACTTATAATTGGGTACCAGCTTAAGTCTCATGCGGGAATAATTTTCTACATTAGCCAGTTTCCAATGAATTCGATTCTGTTTCCTAGAAACATTCACAATGAAACAAGTAAAATTACTAAAAATTATAAAGATTAGTTGTTTGAAGGGAGTAAGAAATAATTCACAATTGTTCAATTCCATTTTAGACAATGTTCAAGCATTGCCAAGCATGCACAAGGCCCTGGTTTTGATTACCAGCACCATAAAACTAAAGACTTGTGTAAATTTTAAGGAAAGCAGTGGGGTAGGAGATAAATAAGAACAAAGTATAATGACACAATGTATGCAAGTATCAGTACTCTTTATATGCTAGCTATTACTTTTGAACAAATTTAAATGTTTGTATTTACCATCTGGACAATTGTCAAGAAAACTAAAATGAGCATGTTTAACAATGACATATGCATGATGAACCTAAGAGAGCCTCAATTATTTACCCAAGATGCCATGAAGCTTAATGGTAGACAACTAAGATCTGAAGAGTAACTTTCAGACTTCTAGCTTGATTTCTTTATTTTTTTACTGTTAAATACAATTTCATAACCATAATAGAATTTTAAACTTTTATTATAAATAAAGATAACTGAAAGCAAATGAAAGACTAAAATATCAAAGTTAAGATGGTAAAATGCTTAGAAGAAAAAGGTAAATTTTTATGATTCTGGACATGGGTACACGTTATTGAATACATTTTTAAAAAAAGCTAGATTCATTAATATTGATAGCTTTGAACAACACTATCAAGAAAGTGATCTACATATGTGCAAATCACCTCTTGATGGTTATTGAGAATACTATACAACACACATACATGCACACAAACACACCAAAAAAAGTCCAACGACTCATTTGTATAGCTAGGCAAAGGAAACAAGACAACAACAAGCACATGGAACAGTGCTCAGCATCATTAGTTATTAGGAGGATGGAAAGCAAAGTAACACGGTAATGATTTATACACAACACAAAGGAAATCTGAAATATTGGAAAGTGACAAGCATTGGTTAGAATGTGGCAAAATTGGAAAACAAATACTCATATCCTGAACATAAAATGATGTTGCAGATGTGGAAGTCAATTCTTTGATAAGTTAAATATAAAATATGACCCAGAAATTGCACTTGTATTATATATACCCAGAAGAATTAAAAGCATGCTCTCAAACCAACATTTTGACACAACTGTCCACATAGCATTGGTAATAGTAGCTCAAAGGGGCAAACAAGTAAATGTTTATCCTTTCACTAGCTGGTTGAAAACATAAACAAAAGGTTTAGTTTACTACATTTTAAAAACAAGGGTTATAAATATATACACCAAAACAGAAGTGAAAATATTAAGTTGTAAAGTGTTGAAGTACAATTTTAGCTTAAGAAGGCAGAAATATTCTTATGAACTACTTGAGTCTAATATATGTAATATCAGAGTAGAAGAACTACCCCACAAGGTACAAACCTCTAATCATCCCAAACCAATTCATAAAATTAAAATAAAGTCATTGAAATACTCATTAAAAAACTGAAATAAAGATGGCTTAAAAGTTTAAAATGTGGAGGCAACAACCTTCACAGGAGCAGGAGCAGGTACAAGGGAACTACCTGAGAGAGCAGGCCTGAACCAGAGACCTCTGAGAGACCTGTTGTAAATCAGCGACCTCTAAAGTAGCAGCCCTGAGCCAGCCTTCACAGATAATAAATGGGCTGAGAAAGAAATCAGACACACAATAGCAACAAATAGCTTAAAATATCTCAGAGTAACTCTAAACAAACAAGTGGAAGACCTGTATGACAAAAACTTTAAATCTTTGAAGAAAAAAATTGAAGAAGGCATTAGAAAATGGAAAGATCTTCCATGCTCTTGGGTAGGTAGAATTAACATAGTAAAATGGCAATCTTACCAAAAGCAATCTACAGATTCAATGCAATGCCCATCAAAATTCCAACAAAATTCTTCACAGACCTCAAAAGAACAATACTCAACTTATATGGAAAAGCAAAAAACCCTGGATAGCCTAAAACAGTCCTGTACAATAAAGGAATTTCTGGAGATATCACAATCCCTGACTTCAAACTCTACTGCAGACCTACAGTACTGAAAACAGCCTGGGATTGGCATAAGAACAGACAGGAGGAGCAATGGAACTGAATCGAAGACCCAGATATCAATCCACACACCTATGAACACCTGATTTTTGACAAAGAAGCAAAATATATCAAATAGGAAAAAGAAAGCATATTTAAATGGTGCTGGAATCACTGGATATCAACATGTAGAAGAATAAAAATAGATCCATATCTATCACCATGCACAAAACTCAAGTCCAAATGAATCAAAGACTTCAACATAAAACCAACCTCATAGAAGAGAAAGTAGGAAGTACACTTGAACGTATTGGCACAGGAAACCACTTCCTAAATATAACTCCAGTAGCACAGATACTGAGAGAAACAATTAATAAATGGGACCTCCTGAAACTGAAAAGCTTCTGTAAAGCAAAGGACACGGTCAACAAGACAAAACGACAGCCTACAGAATGGGAAAAGATCTTCACTTAACCCCACATCAGGTTTATGTCCAAAATATACAGAGAATTCAAGAAATTTGTCATCAAAAGAACAAATAATCCAATAAAAAGTAGAGTACAGACCTAAACAGACAACTCTCAACAGAGGAATCTAAAATGGCTGAATTACACTTAAAGAAATGTTCAACATCCTTAGTCATCAGAGAAATGCAAATCAAAAATCTGTAAGAATAGCCAAGATCAAAAACACTGATGACAACTTATGCTGGAGGGAACACTCCTCCATTGCCGGTGGGAGCACAAACTGGTACAGCCACTTTGGGAATCAGTATGCTGATTTCTCAGAAAATTAAAAAAACAAAACAAAACACTCAAAACCTTCCTCAAGACCGAGCAATACCACTTTTGGGTATCAACTATGGTCACAGAAACATTTGTCAAAGTCAGAACTTGGAAAGAACCTAAATGCCCCTTGACTGAAGAATGGATAAAGAAAATGGTACACAATGAAATACTAAACAGCATAAAAAAATGGTATCTTGAAATTTGCGGGTAAATGGATGGATCATCATATTGAGTGAGGTAACCCAGACCAAGAAAGAGAAATATCATATGTACTCACTCATAAGTGGTTTTTAGACATAAAGTAAAGAAAACCAACCTACAAATCACAATCCCAAAGAACCTAGATAACAATGGGGGCCCTAAGCGAGACATACATGGATCTAAATTATGGGACGTAGAAAAAGACAAGATCTTCTGTGTAAGTTGAGAGCATGGGGACCATGGGGAGAGGGTAGAAAGGGAGGGGAGAGGGAGGGAAGAAGTGGATAAAATATATAGCTCGATAAAAACAGTAAAATTATAATAATAAAAAGTTTAAAATATCTAGCCACAGCTCAAAAAGACAAAATATGTTCCTACCTTTTAGCCCAAGGCCCTCTTTCACATGTAAGATAGAGTCTAATTGCCTTCCACCATCTAAAAGTGGTCAACTGTTGACTGCTAAGTTGTTTAATCATATTATTGTACCTCAAGTTCTCTTGACGTGCTTTTCGATTAAATGGCTCCACAAAATACTCCTAAAATAAACAGCAAAAGGAACATTTTATAATATATTTACCAATTTTAATTTGACCTATAAGAATGGTGTATGAGGAAAGAGATAATAATATCATCTTCTTATTTTATTACAATATTTGTTTTTGATAAGGACGGTAGAATTTCAGTTATGTTCTACTTAGATATTCTGACTCATAAAAAGGGAGCACACATGCATTATGGTTGAAAAAATAGATCAGTGGGGTAAAAGGCATCTACTGCAGAGCGTAACAGGCTGAATTTGCTCCCGAGCACACCAAGTGTGGTGTTCTATGCCTGTAACCCCAACACTAAGGAGGTAGAGTCAGAAAGATCACAAGTTTAAGGTTATCCTTAGCTGTATCCACTCTGTGATACCTAAGACTGTTTCAAAAAAAAAAAAAAAGAGTTAAAATTTAAAAGACCTGCTGTAACTTAAGAGAAGCAAGCTGTGAATAAATTGTAGCTGTTACCAGATGTGTGAAGGATTTGACTAAAACAGATCACCGCTGAGAAAACTGAGGAAGTCATAAAGTTCTGTAGTAAATGGAGCGGCTGCATTCTGCTGCCCAACTGGCTTACACCCAGGCAGGCGGGCTGCTTGTCGTGCTGGCCACTCAGCTAGCTTATGCCCGAAATAATGCCCGAAATAATCACACAGAGATCTTTATTAATTAAATTGTTGCCTGGCCCATTAGCTCTAGCCTCTCATTGGCTAACTCTCACATCTTGATTCAGCCCATTTCTAATACTGTATGTCACCATGAGGCCATGGCTTACCAGGAAAGATTCAGCATGTCTGACCTGGCAGCTTCATGGTGGGCGGCTCTCTGCCTGCCTTCTTACTACCAGAATTCTGTTCTGTTTCCCTGCCTACCTAAGTTGCTGCCCTATCAAAAGGCCAATGCAGTCTCTTTATTCAAACAACGAAAGCAACACATCCTACACCAAAGTTCCATGAAAACCAAGTAAGAACTCATCACCACCCTTATTACATGTATACAACTTCTTCATTAAATGTTTGGTAGTGGGCTGGTGCAGGAAACCATGGAGTTGGCCTGCCCTGGCTGCCTTAAGAGGCATGTGTCATACTTTCTCAGGTTGGAGTCCATGGCTCTTGGGGTACAATGTGTTTTTCCGTTCCAGAGAGACTTTTTGTTTCTCTGTACATTCCCTTTGTAGCCATGGAATCAAGAGAACCTGACAGGACAACAGGTCTTAGACATTAATCTTGGGCACCCTGTATGGCTTGCAAAGGTCACTGTATCCTAGCACCTACAACTGGATTGATCCCGCCAATAGACAGTATATTCTGTTTCTGATAAAGGTCTAAAAAGTCTGATTGCTCTCAGTAAATTGTCACAACCTCAGTTGTGCTGTGGACTCTCCAAGTTGGCCTGATTTCCTTGTCCTTACTGGTAAAGTAAGCACAAGCGCTTACAGGCGGGAAATATGGCACAGCTGGCAGCATGTTTTTCTAGCAGTCCAATCAACAAAAAGGCACCAACAGTGGCAAACTCATCTGGAAACTGAAAACAGGAGGGTCCTAAGTTCAAGGCCATCTTTGCAGATACAGAAAATTAGTTCAAAGTCAGTAGGGGCAACATGAGACCCTGCTTCAAAAAATAAAAATGCAAGTAAGAAGTTAGGCAAATTTGCTAGTAAAATCACTCAGGCCTTGCATTTTCTCTTTTTAAAGGTATATAAATTTAACTTTATTTATATATAAAAGATTATGAAGTTTATCTCTATATTTTAAAGTAAGTTTTAAATCCTCTACCTACCAAGAAACTGATGGATCTGAGTAGTCATATTTCCACATCCTAAGCAACTTACATCTGTGGGGTTGATAGCGACACTGCCTCTTTCATTTCTGCTTCAAGTAAGTTTTCATTTCTCTTTGTCAAGCTGACTAGAAGTTTACTGATTTTGCAAACGTTTTCAAGAGTTTGATTTTAGATTCACTGATTTTTCTTTTTCTGCTTTTATTTACTTATTTATTTTTAATTGGTGTGCTGGAGAGATGACTTGGGGTTAAGAGTGCTTCTTGCTCTTATAGAAGAACCAAGTTCAGGTCCAGCACCAATATAGTGGTTCACAACTACTTGTAACTCTAGTTCCAGGGGTTGAATATTCTCTTCTGACCTCTTAGGTCTCTTGCACATAACAAGGCACAAGCATGTATTCAGGTACACACACACTAATAAAAATAAATAACTTTAAAATGTTTAATTGGCTGGGTGGTGGTGTCACACACCTTTAATCCCAGCACTCGGGAGGCAAAGGCAGGCAGATCTCTATGAGTTCAAAGTCAGCCTGGTCTACAGAGCTAGTTCCAGGACAGCTAGGGCTACACAGAAGAAACCCTGTTTTAAAAACAAACAAAGTGTTTAATTGAAATTAAATTTGTGTGAGTGGAGGGCACATCAAAACACCCTAGCAGTAACTACTAACAGATTTTCAACTTAATAAGATGTTTTACACAATCATAAAGTCATTTTTACTATTGAAATGGTTAATGATTGACCTTCTTTCCAAATTTCTGGTAGAGTTACTTTCATATAATAGTAAACACTTGTAGTTAACATGAAAACTCGATCTAGAAAACAGCATTTACCTGAAATTTCAGTTTACTTTCTCCTCCCTCTCGGTCTCTTTTATGCATATTCACCATTAAGGCTTCATAGCAATTCTTCCAGTAAAGTGTCATGTTCTCATGACCATCATAAAATGTATGTGTTTCATACTGCTTCATGTAAGGTATAATCTTAGATGAGAGAAAAAGAAAGAATGTACAGAATTTACATACTCTTCTATAAAAATGATAAATCAACAGAAAAGTATTGCTCAAAAAAGATAAAACTGTGAGACTGGAGGGATGACTCAACAGTTAAAATAATACTTGCTGAGAGCAACCACAGGTCCCAGCACTCATATGCATCTTGTAACCCTAGCTTCAAAAGATTTCACACCCTCTTCTTGTCTCTTTGTGTGCAGCACATACTTGTACATATACACATGCATACACTCATGCACACACATATAAAGAAAAATGATTTTAAAAACTTACATATTTCTCAATGTAAACTTGCCATTCATCTGAATTGCAGTATTCTTGAAAATCTTCAAAAAATGAAGTACTTCCATCAGTAAAAGGCAAAGAAGGCAGGTGCAAGTTCATGAAAAGAAGCTCATAAATTTTAGAAACCAGAGTACGGAAAAGAGGAATCAGAAATGAATAGATTTCTGTCTGTTCCTTGATTGACCGACTTAGAATATGTTCTAGTTTCCCTAAAATGTAGCATGCTTCATTTTGATTTTCAATCACTTTAGTCTGAAGAAGGGCATTTAGCTTAGCTGATGCTATTGCACAAACCTGAAAGAAAAAAAGTTAAATGAGAAAAAAAATCATTAAAGCAAACATAGAATATTAGCAAAAGATCTAAATCACTCCAAAAATTCAGAAGTTTTATGTAGTAACTGTCAATAACTATGGATTTACTTTACTTCCAAGCAAAAAGTTAAGTGTGCAATGGTTTCATAGACACTGGCATAAAACATAAAACTATTTGTAGAGAGACAAAAACCTACAACAACTTTTAATAATCACATTATTGCCATTCGGACCGATTCTTCAATTCCAATTCTAAGTGAAATAAAACCTGTAAGACATCTGCATACAGACTGGTTGGTCAGAGAGGAACACCCAGTGTAGGAGGGCTCAGCACTTTTTATATTCAGCTGATCTTTGCCTTAGAGAAAGGGACTAGCTTTGTAACAGTGGGCAGTCAACAAACTTGCCTTTTACTCTAGAAAGAATCATGGTTTCTATCTTTAGCAGCTGTTCACAATACAAAACAACTCAAAAGAATGGATATCCAAGTGTGGTGGCACACACCTTTAAGCTTAGTACTTGGGAGGCACAGGTAGGCAGATCTCTATGATGTGCAGCCTGGTCTAGTGAGTTCCAGGATAACCAGGGCTATGTAGAGACCCACCTCAAACAAAAACAAAAACACTCCAGAACAGCTTGAATAAATAGAGAGAACCAATCTCAAAACAATCAAACAAAAAACCCCAGAATGATAAATAACAACAAAAGAATAGATAACAAGAACCATTAGTCACATGATTAAGCAGAAATGCAACAGATTTGTAGAGAACTATCTACCAACAATGACTATAGAAAGCAGCATTATGGCTACTCAGATCTGAATTATCACACAGAAACTACACTAACTATAACACTGTTTGGCCAATACCTCAGGCATATTTCTAGCTAGCTCTTACACCTTGAATTAACCCATTTCTATTAACCTATGTATCATCATAAGACTGTGGACTCACCAAGGTTCCAGCATTCCCAGCTTCTCCTTTGGCAGCTACAAGTCTTCTCTTTGACTCCACCTTCTCTCTCTCTCTCTCTGTTCTGATTTCTCACCTGGCTTTACTCTACTAAGCCTTTGGCCCAAACAGCCAATTTATTAGATTTATTTATTAGAAAATGAAGTTGAAAACAGGCCCAATTGCAATTTGTATCCTTAAGCAAAGATCAGTGTGGTGAGAACAGCAAATAAGCAGACCAACTGAATCTTGTCTTAAACTCATCTTAATAAAGCAATTCTCAATTATTTGTGAGAGAGAACAATTCTCAATGAAGTCTGTTTTGGAGTCTCATTACATGGAATCATAACTATTTGACTACATATAGATATATAAGGAGTCTGGGACCTTAACTAAAAATTTAATTAACCTTAAACTTCCTAGGACAAACACATATTAATAGTACAAGCCCAAGCAAAAGAGAATTCTCCATTAGTATTCATTCAATCACTAGTACTGAAAAGGAAAAAGTTAATGAAAAAGGGTTTGAGGAAGAGAAATGAGAATATAACCACTGGATTAGAGATTTTTTGCAATAGGCCAGCTTTACGGTAAAAAAAAAATTATCTCTCCATACTCTTAACAACATTACATCTAGTTTAGGAACAGCACTAGAATTCTGTCTCATCCTAATCCTCTTTATCCAATAATAAAGCTGAATATTTAAAAGAATTCAGGGTTAGAGAGCTAGTTCAGTAAATGAAATTTTTGCTATACAAGTATAATGATCTGAGTTTGAATCTGCAGGGTCCACATAGAAGCTGACATGTTAGTGCTAGACTGTAATTCTGCCACTACTATACAAAGATGAGAGACAAAGACAGCGGAATTCCTGGAAACTCAGGGGTCAGCTAGCCTGGTGTACAAAGCAGTAAACAACAAAACAAGTCCTGCTCTAAATAAAGGTATATGTTGAGGACCAACACCCAAGGTTGTCCTCTGACCTCCATAGGATGCTGGGCCACAAATGTTCATTCTTTCAATGACATACACACACAAACACACACACACACTCAAAAAGAAACAAAAGTAAATAGATCTCAAATATTTATCATGACTAAATGTACCCAATGCGAACAGAAAAATAACAGAGCAAATGTTAGAGGAATTTTCTAACTTTTTACAATTTAATTTACAATAGGAATAATATTCTTTATGAATACATTTTATCTTTAGTTCTTTAATCTAGCAAAAATCATTAGCATGTACATAATAAGTGAACAAATATATAACAGAGTGTAAAATTTTGGATTAGTAAAACAGAAAAAGAGTTCAAAAGGAAACTTATCATAAATCATTTTCCCTAAAAATATAATTCCCAAATTTCACATACACAAATATCCCTGCAAAGCTATTTAGCAGCTAGCAAGCCACAGTGAATACAGATGACCTGTGAGTAACCCTAAAAAGGAAGCATTAAAATCAGAGTCCTAAGTCTGAGAATAACAAAAAGCTGCTTCTTAAGCTCCTTTCTAATTTTACCAAATTGAAATTTCAAGTGATCTAATATTTTTTTGAAACTCAGAAGATACTGAAAAGAGAGTCTGAGAGATAGTTCAACAGGTAAAGGTGTGTGCCACAAAGCCTTATGACCTGAGTTTGATTTCAAAACCCATGTAGACTCTGCCCTTCACATAATATGAGTGCACAATGCAGGCACATAAAATAAATAAATAAATAAATACAAGAAAATTTTAAGAAAGTACTGAAAAGGCATTATTATCTTGTTATACATCAGTAACTATGGTATATGAGAAGACAGAAAATAGTATAAAAAGAAATGACAAACCTGCAAACTGCCTCTTCCAATGAACTCCAGAAGCAACTGGATCTGTATCTGAGAGAGTTTTACCCATCCTGGATTCTCAGAATACCATGCTGACAGATAATCAAGGAGCTGTGTGCTATCTTCTAAAAGCTATCACACATACACACACACAAAATTGAGAAATAAAAACATCCATTTTTTAAATGTACTGATTTTTCTTCAACACTAATACCAATCATAAATACTGCAGAAGTAGTTTAATGTATAATTGCCAAAAACCAAAGAACCATCGTAACAACTAATAAAATCTGTGTTTATTACGTTTTATTAAACATTAATGCTCCAAAAAGAAGAGAAGCAAAATTTCTTTCTTTAAATAATTCTGAATTACCCCAAATATTTATCTATATATTATATTTTTGTTTTGTTTGCAATAGCATATCACACTGTAGCTCGGGCTAACCTGGAACTGTCTATATGCAATAGCATATCACACTGTAG